AGTTGGTCTCAGTATTTGATTCGGAAATGTTAGGGACTCGTCGTGATATTTGCCATCATCTGGCTAGGTTCATGGTGAAATCAGTTCTCTTTGAATCCTGGCTACTGGGTTTGCTGCCTTTCACATTTGATTTCCGGAAAAAACAAATAAAAAACTCTCGATTGTTGCTACTGTACGGCGTACTTTTAAATTTATTAACTCTCTGCCTATTTATCAGTCACTTCGAGGCTAATAAATCTATAAGTTTCGACGTTTATAAAGCGCAATCCATTGCTAAGGCAAATATTCCAAAAATCGGAAATAACCGCTTTCACCTCGGCGTGTATTATACACTTTATGAATATTTGGAGAAGAAACAAAGTTAAGGAGATTGCCAATGAATTGTTAAACCTGGAGTATCGGTATTTCAAAGGAATTAATCTCAAAAATTGTCCTAAAGTTGAATAGCATTGTGATTCAAAAGTTTATAACGACGATGTGTCAGACTATAATTATGTTCATGGGAACTCTAGAGCATAGGAAAATGTCCCCCTTGGTTTTGATAATACTTTGGTGCCTGCCTTTAATGGGCGTTCAATTAATTTTCTTTCACTTTCATTTTGAAATAATATCAATATATCGATATGTGTGGCTTATAAACGGAGAACTCCTTGACGTGGCTAACAATACAAAACTGGATACCTCTACTAAATCCTCAAGAATTAACGAACTTGCTTCTTTGTACGAACGCCTATTGAAATTAATTAATAAAGTTGAAAAAGCCTACGATTTCCAGTTAACCATTTTATTCGCAAATTATTTAATCTATAATATAGTAATAAGCTACTTACATATTGTGATTGGAGTTAGCCTAAGTAAACCACTTACTTTTCTTGCGACATTCGCAAAGTTAGCCCTAATTATATGGGATTTTTGGTTAAGTATAGTCGTGTGCGATCTCGCTGAGAAAGCTAGTATAAAAACATCGACTCTACTGAAACTTTATGCTGATCTCGAGCATAGAGATGGGGAACTGGAAAGAAATGTAAATATATGCTTAGATTGTTAAATATTATAATTAATTTTATACTTTTTTCTTATAGATTAATCAATTTGCATGGCTTTGCAGTCACCGGAAGATCAGGATTCAGTTATGTGGACTTTTTTCGATTAATTATAGTATGGGTTTTCATATGATCATAACCAGTTTTCTCTACTTGGTTTATTTAGTTCAGTTTGATTATATGAACTTGTGAAATGCTACTTATTTTTATGAAGATTTTAAATATTACAATTATATATTTCAAATATAAACTTTAAGCTTTAAATAATATAACACTCAACATGTTAAAAATATATTTTCATACTTCTTAAAGTCTTAAATTCCAATGTACCATTTAATGAATGACTTGTTCTCCATAAATTCAAGAGCAGTAACCACTGGCATTATTATTTTTCTGCCAGGATCGTGACATCCGCGTGACTGCTGCGTGACATATACTTTTCCCAATGCGTGAGTGATACGTGATTGGAAATAATTTAAGTTGCTGCGATAAACCAATTTGCGCAAATTTAAGATGAAAGAGACGACTGACGGCGGGCAACAACAGCCACAGGAAAACACACATAAAATGGAAGCATTTTCACAACTGTCATTGAAATGTCAACATAAATCTACTGACATCCAGTGCCAGGTTCTCTCACTCTCTTTAGTCCTGCTCCTGGCCCTGGTTCTGGTCCTGTTCCTGCTCCTTTCCCCATTTCTCTGCCGCTTTCCCCAGCGACTTTTGCGCGCTGCGTGACGTAAATGCTGATGAATATTTCTCATCTGTTGGCTGCGGTTCTTGGGCTGAAGTGGGTGATGGAGGAGCTGGCTAGTGGCGCGGAGGCTTCCCTGCAGTTTTGTTATATGTCCTGGATATCCAGAGTTGGCTTCCAGCTCAGCTAGGCACTGGAAAAAACCTTGATAATGTTTAAGTTATATAATTAATATTTAGTCATATCATTATAGTAAAACATCCTAAACATAAATATTAAATTATAAATCAAAAGTTTGAATCTAATGACTAAAAACTATGCCCAATCTAGTCATGTCAACGCAGAAACCTTTACCAAATTAACTCCAAATTGGATTATTAATTAAGATTTTAAATTTAATTTAAGATTAAGTTTAAGTTTAGATTTCAGACTTATATTTCTTAGAGTGTAGCAGCATCACAGGAGATAGAAAGCGGGCTGTGACTCCCAACAGCGAAATGGGCTTGTCAGTTTTGATGAACTATCTTTGGCTGCTCAGCTCGTCCTGTTTCGCTGCTAATGCTAATGCCTCTGACAGAGATCTATGTGCGGTCTGATTCATTTGTGTCCCATTCTCAGACACAACCTCAGTCTCAGTGGCAGACTCGGTTTTCTTTGGGGGGCTGCAGACCTCAAGATGAGGTCACGTACAACTGCGTCGACGTCCGCTTGTTTGGCTTATTAAATGTTTAGTTGTCCTGCCACCCAATTGCAGACATTTTCGGAACTCGTCTTGCCCCTGCATTTAGTATTAATCTGGCTTAAATGTGATTAATGTCTGGTTTTGCAAAAAGGTTATCGCCGTTTCCCTCAAGAGTCGTGCGGTCTTGTCTAACTGACAAAGTCGGAGATAAACTAAGCCTGGATCAGTAAGTGTAATCAATATTCCCGTTAACATTCAGAATTCAATTAAGATTTGTATGTCTGCCAAGGTTTTGGGGCATTTCGTAGATGCCTTTGATAAGTTTTAATTGGGTTAGTGAAATTGGATTTGTGGCTGCTGTTTAAAGTCTTTAAATCTGCTGGTGAGACTTGAAAGGATAATTGAAATCAATTTAATTGGAAATTATCTTGCCAAGATTCGTTAAAATCAAATTTTAAGTTAACTTCTTGTGACTCAAAGATCATAAAAAACTTTAAGATACTAAAATTAGTTTAATAAAGTACTTCTACAAAAATTTCACATTTAAGACGTGTTAAAGACCAGATTATAATAGTATACACTTCATAGTAATGTAAGAATTAACCCATTTGATATTGTTACTAAACCAATAACTGTCTTAATACGCAACCTAATTCCTTAGGGTGAGTTTTCCGCCCGCTCTGAGATTTCCCATTTAAGAGCAGCCCCCGCATCGATTGCACCTTTAATGGCGGCATAAACTTAGTGGCAATATCTTATGCCCTGAGGTCACAGAGAGCAACATTCATTAGCTGTTTGCTGGAGCCGTTGGGTTTGCTTTAAAGTTGATTGTTTGCCAGCTGCCGCTGTGCACTTTGTGGTTTAATTAAAGCCCAAGAGTGGCTCTATATGTATATGTATATATGGTGTGGCAGAGTGGGAATGTGGCAGACAGGCGGCAGCTGCCTTAAACCAAATTACACTAATTGGGTTACCATATGACAGGGCAATGCGTCGACTGTGACATTTGTTTGCCATGGCTTGCCAATGCTTGCATTATGTCCGCCCACATCCTTCGCCCGCACAAACACAAGCACACACAAATATGTGCTGTTGGTGTACGAGGTGTGTTCAAAAAGTAAGGTGACTTTTCAAATTTCTCGGGCAACATATTTTCGATTATCGATTTTTTTGTTTTGTTATATTGGTACACTCTTCCCTAACATCTGTACCAAGTTTCAATGGAACATCATCTTTTGTTTGGTTGTGAGAGGCGTAGAGTTACAAGTTGTTTTGCGAGCTCGGCGATTTTTTGCTATCGAAAAATATGGATCAAAGGATTTGCATCAAATTTTGTGTAAAAAAAAAAAAATGTATACCCATGATTCGTCACCAGTTATGACCCTTTTGAGTAAATCTGGGTCGTCGTTGACGTCATTCAACAGCTCTTGAGCGATGCTCATGCGACGGTTCTTTTGGTCAAAATTCAGCAATTTCGGAACAAACTTCGCTGACACACGACTCATACCCAAAACGTTTGAAAAAATTTCATGGCACGAGCCAAGTGATATACCGACATCTTCAGCAACTCTCTGATAGTGATTCGACGATTTTCCAAAACAATTTTCGTCACTGCTTGAACGTTTTCATCAGTTGTTGACGTGCTTGGGCGTCCAGAGCGAGGCTGGTCATTGGCATCTTCCCGGCCATCTTGGAAGAGTTTGTACCACTTGTACACATTTTTTTACTCAGAACAGTTTCACCGTATGCCACTGTCAACATTTCAAGTGTTTCAGAGCACTTAATTTTATTTTTTACACAAAATTTGATGCAAATCCTTTGATCCATATTTTTCGATAGCAAAAAATCGCCGAGCTCGCAAAACAACTTGTAACTCTACGCCTCTCACAACCAAACAAAAGATGATGTTCCATTGAAACTTGGTACAGATGTTAGGGAAGAGTGTACCAATATAACAAAACAAAAAAATCGATAATCGAAAATATGTTGCCCGAGAAATTTGAAAAGTCACCTTACTTTTTGAACACACCTCGTACACTGGGAACAAAAATATATCTAAAAGCTTAAGGAAAGGCTTTATACTTTCTCTTAGAAGACCCCATTGAAAGCTTCCCAATAAGCGAATTCTTAAACAAAAACAAGCTCTTCTCCCTCTCTCCCGTCCCTATTAACTCTAAAACAATACTAACATTTTAAGATTTTGATTTTTCTCCGACTGTACCATAAGCCCAGTCGTCAGTAAGTCCTTCACTCCACTTAGCGTTTGCATTCGCAGTTGCCAGCTTGTAATAAGCTGCAGAATCATTTTCCGCATGCCGGCTGCTTTGACAGCTGCAATACCACACATGGCTCAAAGAGTCGAAAAGGTGGGGGAAAAGGGGGCAAAAGGACTTAGGGAGTTGGTTAACTGGAGGAGACCGCATTCGAAATGGAACCCAACGGAATCTGGCTTAGTTAATTGAATGGACAGCAGTCAGGTCTTTAAAAGTCAGGATAAACTTCATTTTCAAAGGATTTTATGACCCATGACCCCATGGTATTATCAGCTATTAAGTTTAGATTTAAAAAATCCTTTTTCTTGCCTGTTTTTTAAAAACAAAAAACAAAAACACTTAAATTTTAGGCACGCCTTAAACATCAACGGCTGGTTCCATGGACAGGGTCCTACTGCTTTCATTCCCAGTGGGTGTCATAATGTCATCCAGCATTTGATTGAGCGATTCGGAGCCCAGGGCATACTTTTGCTTGTTGGCACTGCGATTGTGCATGGCATCGATGTAGACGTGACTTGAGTTCGGCTCACTGCTCAAAATGTGCTGCAGGACATTGCTGATCCGTTCAGACCCCAGGATCTTAGGCTCCTCTATGGCCAATCCATCGATTGCAGCCGTTTCCGACTGGTTTGAAATCCTGGCTGGCGACTCATCCTCATTGGCTGTCTTTAAGAAATTAATTGCCTGTGCGGAGGCCAAAAATCCGGCCGAAAAAGAGGCGAGCCAATGAGCAATTGAAATCATTGTCTTAAATACGATTGAAAAGGAATTTGGAAAGGTGTGATTTTTGAATTTTTGTTAAGATTACTTTGATTTTAAATTATATTTTCTTTTAATATGTATCCCTGTGAGGTTAAACTCTTTATTTTTAAATTTTAAACGATTACCTAACTTGGCGGTATTTCGTTTTCACCACGTGGTTAGTTTTTAAGTGCAGAGCTGCCGTCTAGTCTAGTTTTATTTACTCGATTCGACCTTAACAGACCCAATAAAATTAAAAAAAAACAAAACGACTATTAGTAATTACTTTCCAAATTTCTTAAAATTAAATTAAATATATTAAATTAAATAAAATATAAGATATCACATGTATCATATTTTATCTTCAAGATAACCAAGTCATGAAAATATATCGCTACACGATATATCGCTTCCGCACTGCGACCTCTAGTCAGCTGTTAACGCCCACAGTTCGTCCGATGTGGCAGCACTGGTCAGCCACCAAATATAAACATTGAATTTTTCGCTTAAATTTTTTGGAGTTTAACACCATTTAAGCGATGTTACCGGGCGTGGGAGTGTTTGGGACTGGAGAGATAGCCAACGTGTTGGTGCCACTGCTGCGGGAAAAAGGATTCGAAGTGCGCGCCATTTGGGGCAGGACCTTAAAAGAAGCAAAAGAAACTTCGACAACGCAAAATGTTCAGTTCCATACGAACGTCATCGATGATGTCCTGCTGCGAAAGGATGTGGACCTGGTGTTCATAGTTTGTCAGCCGTTTTTGCATGCGGAGATCTCGGTGAAGGCTTTGGGCATTGGGAAACATGTAGTGTGCGATAAGCCAGCGGGCTTGCACCAACAAGATGCCCTCAAAATGGTTAGAGCCTCTCAGTATTATCCAACTTTGATTTCCCTGGTCAATCATCCGTTGAGGTTCCTGCCCGCCTTTACTCACATGCGACGGTGTCTGCAGGATGAGCTGATTGGATCCATTGGTGACGTGGTACTCATGGATGTTCGTGTTCAGATGGGAACTCTTTTCCCCGAGAAATACAATTGGATGTGCGATGCCCAAATGGGCGGTGGTGCCTTGAATCTCGTTGGATCTGTGGTGGATTTGGTTACCTTCCTGCTGCAACAGCAGGCTATAAGGGTGCATGGAGTCCTGCGATCCTACACCAAAACCACGCCGGCAATCAATGGTATTAGGCAGATTACGGCACCGGACTTCTGCAACTTTCAAATGGAACTAGCCAGCGGAACATTGGTGACTGTAGCTCTTCATAGTCACACAGTGCCTGCGAAAGCCTTCTCGCAAGAAGTGCTTATCTATGGCAGCAAGGGTCACCTAGTGGTCCGTGGCGGTGATTTGTTTGTCCTAAAAGAGGGACAACCCAAGGAGGAGGCTGTCTATGTAGACGTCCAGGACCTGCACTTTGCCACCAATAACTCTTTGTTACCGCGACCTTATATCAAGGGACTCTGCAAGATGATTGGTGCTCTGAAAGAAGCTTTCGGCAGCAAGGAATCATCCTGGGTTAAGGCTCCCGTTTCCACAGCCGCCACCTTTGAAGATGGCCTATATGTCCAGGCTGTGGTAGAGGCCATCCGTAAATCCAACGAAACCAGGCAATGGCAAAGGGTACAATTGTCCACGGATAGCCCTCTAAATCATGATCAGATCATTCGATATGCACGCATGTCTACTATGTAAGGGAATCGGTGTTAAGTGCAATATTTAAAAGATTCCAATATATATTTTTTTATATAACGTATTTGTTTAGTCTGTAAGATATTAATTGATCAAGGCTTTTAAGCCTCAGTCACCACCATCAATGTATTTAACTTATTTGTATGGCATCAGCATTTTGCGACTAATAAAATTGATTTGTTAGACTGTAAATTGGGAGTATTATTAAATTGTGTAGAAGCTAAGTAATAAGTCGGTATATATTTCATTAGAAAATATATTTAAATTATTTATTTCCTTGTCAAAAAACAGCTCCTTTTTTTGTATAAGCTTATAAAATTATTTTTTACCATTTAATAATGATATATATTTTGATTTATTTTACGAACTACAAGAGTCATTCCTAGGAACCTTTATGTAAAAATCAAAATCAAAAACATAAATTATCAAATTTACCAAATATTTTATTGTGAAATCAAAAAATCTAAAACATTTGCTACACAAACTAAACATTATCTGCCATATACATATAAATCGAACTTAGAACTACAAATTAAAACTAATCACTAAAAAGAGACAAAACAATATGTAAATCACAAATGTAACTTTGTTTGAGGACCTTATGAGCTTAGATGAATATTCAAGATTTGGCATAGATGGAATTCCTTGCGGAAAAACCAGCTCAGTTGATGAAGTTTACAGGGCAAGATGAAAACTGGGTTATATAAAAATTGTGTTGTGTTTGATCTTCCTTTTTTTTGGTATATCAGCACTTAAACTGGAGTAAGCTACCCTAAAGCCTTCTTGCATATTATATTTCAAGGGAATATTTAAATAAATACCTAAGCTAGTTGATAATAGGTCGGATCAATCAATTAAAAAACAAAAAAGGGTAAATTTATAAATTCAGTTTCGAAATTAAAACAAGGAAAGTTGGAAAGACTCCCGACTATGTACATAAGGTTTAAAACTGTGGTCCTAGCCTTAAGCGTGGAAGCCCTATCGTCTGTTGAGCTTGTGCCATAGTGTGATGAGGGTCAGCACATGCATGACTCCAATCACGGTTCCCATGAGGATTAGACAATCGGACATGTGAACATCCGATATCATCATATATTTGAGGAAAACCTTTGGGCTGCGGAAATGACAGTACATCGCAGTTTCCGGGCACTCCAAAAAGGGTCGATCCATACCATAGATGGCATTCAATGCCCCATGGAATCCAGCTCGGAAATAACTCAAATGCCACATCCATCGGAAAAGGGGCGTGATGTCTATATAGCGCGTGCAGAATCCAAAATACGGAGAACATCACCGCCAGAATAGGTCCCAAAAAGACGGCAAGCTAATGCAGAAAGATCAATCATTATTAATTATGCGGTTAGTTGGAGGCAGTTTAGAACGCACCTTTGTTGGCAAAGTGGCTCCCACGAAAAAGCCCCAGGCCTGGGCACTTAATGAGGCCATTATGCCCAGCAGCATAAAGTAATAGATCCGGTATGAATCCACAACATCATTGCCAGTCAGATGTACGCTTATGATGATGTACATGGCGGTACAGAGACTCTAGAATTTGCAGGGAAAAATATTACAAAATTAGTGAGTTAGTTCTAATGATAGGTAAAGTATCTTACTTATTATTTATTCGTTTTGCCAATCAGATTAATAATGTTTTTTATATCATTTACCATTTATGATAATTAATATCATTATTGATTATATTTATATTGCAGTTGATTAATGACAATTGTTGGTTTGAAAGATTAGATTACTTTTGCATAAATGAATCTAACAAAAACAAACATTTTTATATTACAAAACACTTTGAGAATCAGGCCACTTTTTGAGCAAACAAATGAGTAATTTTCCTTAATAACTCATCACACTGGAATTTAAGCTTTCAAAATTCCAAACAATTAAAATAGAAATGCCTGCCTTTCATAACTCCTCAAGCTTTCAATCGTAAAAAAACATTAAGCTAAACAAAAGAATTTGTTTGTGTTCAAAACATTAAAAATTTCTCTTTACATGACATATGAATGCGAGAATATTGGAACAATCGCTATAAAATTATAGGTAGTCAAGTTTTTGCGATTCTGACACGCAAATGAAACTCAAAACTCGAACATCAGCGATTTCACATCGTTAATTCGACTTAATGACTGAAAAAGCAATTCATTAAGTCTATGACAACTTAGTTCTAAATGATGATTAATGACAACAACTGATCGGCTTAGTGAGATATTTATTTAATAAACGCATGACTTACCTGGAAGGGTATTTCGAAGGAGATCAGCGAGAGGAAGTAGGGACCCAGTTTGTACCAGCGATTGAAGTGCTCCCGTGTCAGCATGTCAATTTCCAGCGGAACTGCGAATAAAATTAATTGATAAATTTAACGTGATTCCCAATCAATTCGATACGCTGTGAAGTGTGCGCACGAAGGTGAGGGCATTATACATATGTAGGTCAGGTCAGTAAACCGAAACCGGTAAAGATCGACACCCCCAGCTCCGCTCAGATGTCTCCTGTCTGCGGTAATTTATTGTAAAAAGACTCAAGAATCGCCAGCAAACTGGTTTTATTATACAATAATCCCAAGCTTGTGTCTCTTGTCCGTTTTTTTTTAAATTATTTACTTAGTGGGTTTCGGGATCGCAATTCAATTTTTGGTCATTTACATGGAAATTATAAATGACAAAGTGGATCGACAAAAATCTTTTATCGCTTGATTAAATTAAAACTGGCCTTGCTGGAAGGGTTAATGTTCTTAATTATTTTGTTTGATTAAGTAAAAGATACTGTAAAAGCGATGTTTTAAAATCTTCTTTTCTTTTCTTTTTAGCAAAAATTTTAAAAACCAAGTTTCTAATGGGTCAAGATGGATAAGTTTTTTATTTATGTTTATAAGCTTTAAGAAAAGAATCATTTATGTAGATAAATTAAGATAAAGATCTACAAAATTTTAACTTTTTTGGTTTAATCTACATCCCAAGTTTGCTAAACAAAAATTCTAGCTAAACCAAATTCACAAAGTTTAGCTCTTTAGACTAGACCAAGCTAATGATTCCCTATCTAAGCTCATGATCTTGTTTCCTTTTTGCCAATTAAGACTCGCAAAACTTTTGTGCAAATGCCAACGAAATTATTGGCCAATCCGCATTCCCAAAAAAATAAAAAAAATAGATAAAATAAAAGCAATTGGCAGTTTAGAATGCGGCAGGTTAAAAACAAAGCCAACTTGCCAAAAAAAATAAGTAGATATTGCACAAGAACAGCTGCAGTATTTATCTTATTTTTTTCTTTGCCAAATTTGGCGACAAATTTTTGCATAATTTTGCTATCCAAGAAAACCATTCAATGGAAAATGGGAGACACCAAGAGGACAGAGATACTAGTACACAAGAACCACTTGGAAAATGCATTTGGTAGCTGAAGTGCGGGTATCTTGGGGATTGGAGTACATAGGCAGCTACTTACATGTCAAGACCACAGCCATTTTGCCGGTGTAGACCAAGAGCAGAGTGGAACCATAGAGATACACGTAATTTCCCAGCACACTCTGGGCATTGTTGCCCACGTTCATATACAGATACCCAAAGACGACGCCAATGAAAATGTGCGAAAAGATTCGGGCCAGCAGCAGAAACTGAAAGAGATACGAGGCATTTAGATATATGACACACAGGTGCGGTGAATTTGATAAAGTTTACAGGTCAATTTTTCTAACTACTTTTATTTATCATTTTGAAAACGTGATTTTCAGTTTTTGTTTTGGCAATAATTATTGGTAAATAGTTAAAAATAGCTTTGTAATAACTTAAAGCCATCCCCTTCAAATACAAGTACAGTTTTTATATTCTTGTAAATAGTGTTTTTAAAGTTAACTTAGTCTTAAATCTTCTTTGTAAAACAAATATTAATGGTTTCTCTCTAAATGACACTTTGAGGCCCTGTTTCTCAAACTAATATTTGTTATGGCGATAAACTGTCAAAAGCCATAAAAAACAGTAAACTAGAGAAGGTAGGCCTAGAAGAACTAAATAGTTAGATAAAAAAAAGTTACGGAAAGAATAACATTTCCAGTAAAAAGAACTTATTAAAAACCCTTAGCAATTAAAGATGATATAAAAAGAGATCTTAAATCCAAATGCAAAACCTAACTAGCCAACTCCAAGGCTGACATCAATATCTTATGGCTAATAGCTTGACCGCAGCTGTACCTTCGACAAAGCAATAGTCAAACAAATAATCGTGCTGTAGTGGATGTTGGTCATTAGAACACTCTAAAACCAAAATCTATGTGAAGGCTATGTGCTGGCATTACTTTTTGAGTAACGATCCGCTCGAGTGGGTTTGCGATTCTCGATGTCGCCGTATTGGCCAGTCTCTGTGACACTACCAAGTCAATATTAATACTTTAAAGTGCTAACAAATTCATACCCATGGCTATAGTACGACTTAACCAAGTTGCAGTATATATAATATGCAGATCCATATTAATCGTGTGCAGTCACATAAAGATGACTTAACCCGCTAATTGGTCATCACACAAACTGTTCAATTTCACATTTTAAGCATATTCAAAGTGCTAATTGTGCACATTCAAATGATAAACGTCAGCCATCAATCTAAGTGGCATTTCTCATTCGGCAGTAATTTATTTATTTATTATTATGGTAAATATTTGATACTTTGCCCTGAGTCATTTATTTTCTGGTAGTTCTAAAGAGCAAACAACAAATTCAGAACGAACTGAAAAACGTGTTAAATGTTAAGCAATCTATCTAATAAGTAAGACATTGTTAAGCTTCGTTACCAAGTGTTGGCTTCAGGAAAATCTTATTCAGTTGTGAAAAATTCATTTACATAAGTACATTAAGTTTGCTTTAAGTTTGTAATAGGACAAGTTTAGAGAAACCCATTAAGTTACTAGTCACAATTAAAAAGCCCTTTAAGCCCTAGACAAAACTGTGTTTATGATGATCATAAGTTTAAGCATAAACCTTCAGTCATTTCCAGTTGGAAATATGGTAAGTGCCTCCATTAACTAACTCATGCATGATCTTATATCACAATTAAAAACATGCATAAGTCCCATTTTCTTTAAAACTTCATTTTTTCTTTTTTTTTTTGCAAAATCCGAAAGCGTGGCTAAGTGGCCAACCTTCCCCAAAAAAAACTTATAATACTTAATGTACGACTACAAAATGGTAATGTGCAACTGAGAAACGTAATTACTCACAAAAAAGAAACACATTTTAAACAAAAAATAAAAAGCGGTTATTTAAGAGATTAGCCATTAAGAATTACGCAGAAAACGAGATCAGCGGCAACTGGATTCAGTTTTTTCGAGGACGCTGCACCAATTACCAAATCAACTTGACAGCCCATCAACGTTTAACGCCATTGCCCTAAACCGGCTTAACAAAAAAAACTAATTGTTACCCACATTATGCAGTAAAAATATTGCAGTGAAGCTTTTATAAGTTTGGTTTTAGTATTTTAAAAAGTTTTTAATAATATTAACTATATGTTTAGGTAAAACCTTGACCATTGAGCTATGTTGGATTCTATTTTGTAACTAAATTTTAAAATTATAAAATCTGTTTGTCCCTGGCTAGTTTGTTTCACTGAAGCTTGACTTTTTATTTTTTTAATTTTATTACATTTTTTGGTTTATACTCACGTAGTTTCGTTTGGCACAGATCAAGATGCGTTGCATGAGGAGCAGATACTGCATAAGGAACGAGGCCGACCTGATGGCATTCGTCGGGGGCTTGGCAAGCTCATTGACATTGGCAAGTGGCTGTTGTTGTAGACTTTTCTTTAGATGATCTTGCTGCTCCACGATCTCAGTGGGACCACTCTAGTGCCTTCATCTCCTCCAGAGCCAATTCCTGAGGCGATGCTTTCACATAATCGAAGCTGGAGAATTGCGCCAGCGCAACTGTCGGCAGCTCTTGACTGGATTTTCCCAGCGTCTTGCCACCAATGTTGTCTGTAATTTCAGGGAACAGTGGAAGCGACGGTTAGAGAAAGTACATAATAGTAATAGAGGGAAACTGTATTTTTTTTGCACTGTTTTCTCTTCAATAATTGAACCACAAAAATTTGCATAAGTTTGTTGACAGTGTATCTCGAACAAAAATGCTTAAACACCTAAACTTTAACAACCAAACAAGTAACTACATAAAGATCTTATCAATTTTTTGACCATAAAAATATTCCCATAAAATGTCATTCAAACATCTTAATAAAAAAAACTGTAGGAAGCTTGGGAACTATAGTATCTTTAGCTTGGCAACAGAAGTGAACTTACCTTTAATTGTTGCCACGAGGCGTGACATATCGGCGCTGCTCATATAACGATAGCGATCGACATCCTCGTAATACTTTTTATTAGCCGCATGGATTAGTTCATTCAGATCACGTTGATGCTCGCCCACGGCCACTTCCAGTACTGAGATTCATATAATATAATATATAGGTAGATCAATAGATAGATCAAACCAAAGGCAGGACCTATATGATATACTCACAATAATCAGCTGGGTTGTGATAGCTAGGACAGACGAGCTGCTGATCGGCCAGGAAGGGAACCAGTTCCCTCACAGGTCCCTGGTACATACAATGACCGTCCACTACCGTATATAGCTTATCGAACATCTCGAAAATCAGGGCACTCGGCTGATGGATCGTACAGACAATTGTATGACCCTGAGAAGCCAATTTCTTTAGCAAGGCCACACAAGAACTGCACGAGGAGCTATCCAGACCCCTAAAAATCCAACCAGAACGACCCAAAAATGTTAATAAAAACTTTTATAATGACTCAACTTAATTTAATTACGGCTAACCTAACCTTTGAAAACAAACAGAAAAATGTCATTAAACACTAAGAAAGCCAGAAAAGAACATTAAGAATTTGAGCAATCTTAAACTTTAATGGTAGCTGAGTTTTGGGGTTTGAACTTGAAATTGAGAAACGAGTTTGTTCCCGAAAATCCATTAGCCATTGCAAGTCAAGCTGAATTACAAAGATTTGATCGACTGCAGTAAAGAATTTATTAAACAGATTTGCAAAAAAACAAGTTTACTTAAGTATTTTAAATTTTGCAATTTGTTTACTAGCTTAAAAGGTCATTTACCTATCTAATAAAAGGGTTCTGAGGCTTTTGAATGTCTAGCAAGCTCTTAGAAGTAATTTAAACAAATTTTACCTATTTTCTGATTGAATAAGAATCCAAATAATATCTAAATGATCAGCAAATATAACCCAGTTATTCTTTCTTGTTATATATCTGGAACTGCTAATTTCCTTTGTTTGAAATTCCAAGTCATGATTTTCACTCGAGACTTGTGGAATGGTTTAAAATTACTTCTGAGTCAAAGGGTTCCGCTTAGTCATTCTATATGAAAGGGAATATTTAATCTCCACCCAGACGGTGTAATCTTAAAATAGCCCAGCCCTTAATTGCTGCCTAAATAGGTTGCATTCAACTCAATACACTCAATACTTCTATCAATACCCATTAAAATAAATGCCCAACAAATGGACAATTTAATAAATTACCGGTTAATCTGCAAGATAATTTAGTAATTAAAAGTATTATGAATTCAGTTATTTAAATAACTAAAACCACTTTTTGCTTATTCAGCACCAACAATTAAACCAATTCAAAACTATAATAAAGACTATATACATAGACAATTGATAAGCCCTAATGGTCATATAGATGGGGTGACAAACTTGACTTGTAGGTCAGCCTTTCGGTTTGTTAGTATTTTTTCTTTATTTTTTTTGAATTTCCGCTAGGCAAAGTTTGCTCATCATCGTCATCATGTTGATGATCATTATCATGGCTACTCTAATGACATAAGCGTGTTTATATAGAGTGTCACTCACGTCGTCGGTTCGTCCAGATATAGTACAGGAGGATTACTTATCAGCTCCAAAGCGATTGCGAGTCGCTTCTTCTGTCCACCGGAAAGCTTCCCCGTAGGCACATTATACCGATGGTCCAGACCCAACAGCGATAAGATGTGTTTGATCTAGAGATTATACAGAAATATAATTAAGATATGATTATCACTAAGAAGTTAGTCAGAAGAGAAGAACGTTATTGATAAAAATACTTTATATATTCGGAAACTAAATCTTACCAGATCCATTTTATAAGCTTTGGTGACCTTGAAGCCCAGCTTAAGATGGGCCGCCAGTAGCATTATCTCTCCAACCAGCAACTGTGGTCGCATCAGATCATCCTGATGGATATAGCAAAGCATTTGCCGGAATCTCTCCGAGCTGGGAGCCATTGGCTTGCCATTAACCCGTATATTGCCCGAGACACCAGTGGAACTGCGGTTAAAAAGTGAATAAAAAACGTGCGGAATAAAGAGTGAAAATGTGTCGAAGAAAACTCAAAAGATAATCGCCAAGCAAAGCAATTAAAATAATTATAATAATGTACACGAGCTCAACATACACTGGGAATTGTATAAAAAAAATCTTTACGTCTGGATCGGGGAAGTGAACCGAACTATATGCTTATATATAGTACATACGACACTTTCAAGTTCATAGTTTACTGACCGATAACGTTTAGCAATGAAAACTCGTGTACCGCCTCGGGGCATACATTTCGCCACAGACATTACTTTAATCATGATAATTACGCACAACCAGCAATTTGCAAGTTTTGTTTTATAAACAAGATTCACAAGATTTCGAACCCCCTCCCATCTACACGTGCAGGGCATTTTATAAATTCTTAAATTGTTTATTTACTAAAAAAAAATGCTGTAATAGCTGTCAGTTGGCCATCAAAAAAAGAGCACTGCGATTAAACAGCGATTTCCCTTTTAGATACGTCAATTTGCGTTTAAGTGAGTCAGAATAATGATTATTCTGAGTCCCAGTCTGAAGTCCTAATTATGCAATGGCTGGGAACTTGAACTGGGAGAGGAAGTGAATGAGATTATGTCCGGGATGGCATGTCAATCACAAAGGCCCTGCCTTCTAGTTCGTCAAATAAATCATCCGATTGTGAAATATATATTATAGTTTTGCATAGAAAAATGCAACTAAGTAAGCGAAATAAAGAATTTTTCGATTTGATTAGGAATATTCCTGTTACAATGTTAAAAACATCCGATTATATGCTCATCTTAGATCTTTCATTACTATATCTTCAAAAAACAAACTTAAGTCATAAAAATCTTCAATATAATCCAGGTTAGATCCCACAAATGATACCCACTTTGAAAACCTTTAATGTTTAACCCTTCTATATACAAATTTAATTATATAGCCAATCAAATGCAGCTGTGTACGACTTGCCGACACTTGAACAATGTGTTGATTGATTGAGCGATTGCGACGTCTGCACTTTATATGCATAGCCGATGTGTCCAATGTGTAATTAAATGGCATGAAACCAGATTGAATATGCAGTAGATATAATATAACCATAAATTAAGCTGTCTGAGGAAAATTAATTTCCCAAGTTCAGGTATGCGGGGGAGAGTACTCACCAAAAACCAGACATCACATTTAAAAGTGTACTTTTGCCGGCTCCCGAAGGGCCCATAATAGCTGTGAGTTCACCAGAGCGAAAACTGCCATTCAAGCCATGTAAGATTTCTTTAGTGACTGTTTTAATAAAATAAAAATGATTAATACTTAATAATAATAAAATATTTAATGTAAAACATACCAAATTTCCTTTCCGGAAAAGAGAACTTCTTCACTGTATACCTGACATCGGAGAACTCAATATCCACAGGATCGCAATGATCAAAGTTGGCATGTGCTACTGCCTGATGATAGTTTGGCCTTTGGAAACCATTCAAATCGTTGTTGACCTTTGTGGCCAATTCTGAGGATCCTCTGGATGAGGTCGATGAGGTCTCATCTATGGACAGCTCCGAACTGGCTGCTGTGGTGCAACAATGGATGCCTAGGCAACCGCCATCGTGGTTATCATGATGACCTTTGTGGCTGCTGACACCGGAACTACTGCTGGCATCACTATTTGCACCACCCACACAGCAGGCGGCATCTGAGGCCTTGATATCTGGCAAGAGTGTCATTTTCCCAAGGATTTCTCAATATTTTCCAAGTCACAGGGGAAAACTCTGAAATATGAAAGAGAGGAGGAGCACAGAAAAATAACATATTTAGATGCATTGCAAAACTGAGCAAAAGTTCAATAAACAAGGAAGATTAGGCTTATCAAGGCAGACTTGGAATCAATAAATGTTTAAGAGTCATCTACTTAATGAAAGCCAAGGCGGAGGCTATTTGTTTCTAATGTTATAAATGTTCCCTTTTCGCTCTAATACATTCTATCTGACTAAAATGAATAACAAAGTGGAATTTAATATAGTGCCCATTAATTATTTCACATATCTGTAATCAGATTTCACGTTTTTAATTAAGGGCCTCTGCAGTTTTTAAGTATAGAATTATAATAGCAGCTCTAGAACTAACGACCTGTTTGCTCGCTGGGGCGTTAACTTCATTTATTGTTAATATTTGACTAACAAAAAAATTACTTGTTGCAGGCAAATTAACATTTTTGGGGGCGTTTACACTTTGTTTGCGCAATTTAGCTAGACACTTTATGGTCAGATTAGTCATAGTGCAGTTGCATATCGTAAAGCTGAGCAGATGCGTCATTATAGATATATTTATTAATATATTTTGTTTTTGTGGCAAACAAAGAAAGTTATTGTAATGTAAAAAGCTTTTATGCAAGATGAGGGTTCATCGTAAAGGGAAGTCTGTCAGACTGATGGATAGACAGACTTTTCTAAACGATCCCTAATCTCTCAAGAATTTCTCTTCAAAAACCAATAAACTTTGATATCTTAGATATTTATTTATAGGTTTCCCAAAATCAAATACAACTTTTTGCCTGTCATCTTTTATTGATTTTCTATTCTTTCATTCAATGACTTGGCAATATGCAAAAATAGTTAGGAACCAATTTTCAAAAGTTACGTGTGAAAAAAAACGGTGTCAATAGCAAATATTGATGTTTAAGCTTTAATGAAATTAGAATTAATTTATAGTTGATTATTCTCTAGTTAGCTAATGTTTGCTAATTTTATGTACCCTTGACTTAGGTCAGTGTTTTTCTGCCCGATTTAGGGTTTGCTAATTAGTTATGCAAACAAATAGACTGAAAGGAATTGCCTAGAACGTTTTTTTGGATTATTTAAAGGTTTATAAACAAAGGGAAATGTGAAAAGAAGTACTTAAAGGAAAATTCTATAAAATTCTATTCACAGTTTTCTATCAAAACCTTCAAGCTATTAGTAACTAGGCTAAACACACATGCAAATTAGCTTTACAAAGTTCTTTAGATTTGCCCAGACTTCAAAGAGTTTCTCCACAATGACTATGGGCGGCTCCTTTTTTTTTTTATTTATGCTCGGTCAACAAGTTTCGAGTAGTTGACTGATATTGACTTTGATGTAAAGAGTTTGTGTCTGGCTTGTTAACTGAATGACAAACCAAACACAACCAGTTTTGTGAAAAGAACGGCATATAAAAAAAGTGCAAAATCATTTTACAGATTTTTTTTTGGTTGTGGCTTCACTTTGCAATCTTTAATTAGCCAAAAAACTAAAGCGGTTTAAGTTTAGAGGTGCGATTTGATCTTGGGGCCAAATAGAAGTTCGACTGGTTCTGTGTCTTGAGTGCATTTCGAGTGCAGTTTCATTGAGTTGACACTTTTCATTGATTGAGAGTCCAGTGACACGAACAATTGAGCTCAGCATATGGTCGATCAATTTACGATGTTCAGCGAATGACATAATTATATATGCTATATATTTTATGGTCTTGATATGTCTGTGCATATTTAATAAGATTTATTTATAAGTGGGTATGGAATAACTACTTTTTTATAAATATTTAAAATGTATATTCAGCTTATCATCAAGAACTATGTTAAGTTTACTTAATATCTGTTTAATTTGTTTAATTTTTATATATAAAAACCCATTTAATATATTATTTGTAACACTTTTTAAACAATCTTTATTCAGTTTTTACTTTCAGTAAGTGCTTTGATGACTCAAAACATTAATTGTGTATGCACTTTAATACCCAAAGATCGTGACACTGGTTTATAAGTGGTTCAGAAGCACCGAAACGAAACTATGAGAATCCGGGTATATACATTTTATTTTTTTGGAAAGCTTTTGGTAGCCAAAGGTCGTTGGGACCTTTAGACATTCGGCTCGGCCTGGCTTAGCCCCTTCATAACTCAGTCAATGCAAATTGTTATTTTTTTTTGTTGTGCCGGCTGCTACTGACATGCAAATACATAAGACTCGAAAAAAAAATTCGAAAAACGCTCGCCATTTCAATTAAAGTCACGAAACTGAGAGATCATGAACAACTTCAGTACAACAAAAAATGCAAAAAAAAAAAAAAAAATAGTAAAAAGTATATGAGAACAAAACAATAGAATGAGGCAAGTGAACGTTTAGGTTTTGGTTTACTGTAAAGCCACGATAAATAAATAAAAAAGAAGAAAAACTTAGTCGGACACTACGTATACGACCCCTGGAACTACTGTTTCACTATTCGCCAAGCGATAAAGAAAAGTGACATCGGCCCAAGGCCGCCGGCACGTGGTCAGCTAAATAATGTTAATGGATCAGGGTTTATCTTGGGTTTATACTACGACTGTGTGTTGGCTGTCAAACAAATATGCACAAGAATGAGTACTATGAGAACGTCGCAGTAGCCGGCATAATAATGAGTTTGTTTTCATTTCCAATATTTGCCTTCTTGCCATTTTGGAGCGTCTGTATTTTGTTGTTGATTTTCTTCTTCTTCTTCGTCTTTCTTCTCTCGTTTTGAGTGTCAGTCAGCCAAATGACCGCTATATTCGGTTTGTTTATAATTTACGAGTGCATTAGTTGGCCATTTGCTTTCATTTATTCATGCGTTTTGAATTTTCGTTTATTGCGGTTATTGTTTTGCTCACGTAATGAGCAAATTGAACGAAATTAAGATGATTGGGAATGGGAATTTAGAGGGTTGAAAAAAAGTAGGTTCATGAAAGTTTAGTATAGAAACAATGATTATCTCAATTGTTTCCCAAACAAATTAGAAACACATTGCAGTTTAGTTATGGAAGTGTATAAATTTGCATAACACAATTCCCTGATTCACACTGGCTGGCGGCTGCTACAACTTAAAATTCATCGCACAATTCATGAATAAGTTAGCTGAAGCCGCCGCGAGTGATGCAACTAGAAATGCTGCTTCAGTGTAGAATCGCATAATCGAGTGGGAGTGGGGTTGCACGATAAAGAAAAAAAAACCAGTTGATTATTGTTGATTCTTATGCGATGGCCTACATTTTCCAGTTTCAAGTTCTGTCTGCTGCGATAGAGAAGGGAATAATCGAATATAGAAAGATTGAGTTTGGAACGAAAAGCTTTTCTTATAAGAAAGTCAAAACAAAATTATGCAGCTGCTACACTGGAGAAATGTTTACTTTCTAATTAGCAAGAAAGTTAGGGAAAACAGGCAGCCGGTAAAGCAGTAACTGGAATATTTTACTATTTTTAATTTCTTACGATTCTATGCCATGGCAAATGAAGGTAAAAACTTCCTAAATTTAACAAAAAATCAGCAATAATTTACTAAACTTAAATAACTTTTAACATTCTTACCCTAAGTTATTGACAACTCACAAAAACTTAAAAAAAAAAACATTAAAAAGAAATATTTAGATGAAGTAAATCTTTTTAACAAATTTGTAAAATATTTTATAAACAATTTTTGTAATTTTCAATATTTTCAACTTTATATTAATGATTTTCAACTTTATTGTTTTTCTCAGTGCTGAGACAACTTCTACTATTTGTCTGTTCTTTGTCTACACAATTCTTCTGGTGATTCAGCCCGCTCCTGCACTCCACTCTTCCAAGAGCTTTCTTTCTTTCTTTGCCCATTTAATGGGTCAAAAGGTAAATTAGCGGTGTTAACGAACCTGTTGACTGCAAGTTCTTCAGCTGTTCTTTTTTCGGAATTCGGTTTATTTTTCAAAGTTCCTTCTTTGTACCACTCCTCTGTGGTTATAGTATACAAGAATATTTTGGATCGTAAAAGTTGACACAGAATGCAGGCTTATGAATGAAAACACATAATCACAAAGAAAAGTCTCCAAAAAACCAACAAATGCAACGGTAAATAATTGCAGTCTTTTTTTAATTAACCTTTCATTAAAATACAATGGAACACGCGATGATTGTTTTATTGTTGTCAGGCGCACTTCTTGGTTTTATTTTGTTTTGTTATGTTTTATTTCTTCTTTTTTGATTTCCTAATTCGATTTTTGTTGCACTTTCTTTACATTTTTCTTCTCGGTTTTGCTTGGTTTGCTATTGCTCCGGCTTTTGCCTCTGCTTCCATTGAACTTATGCAGATGGGCAGCGACGCGTAAATTAATTTCAATTGCGTTTGCTATACATAATGTGCTTCGCTTCGATTTTTCTGTATTTCTCGATTTTCCCCCGCTTCCCGCTATATATATTTCTATATATATATGTTTATATATATAGTCCGATGCACGTGCGTTCGCGACGCTCGCTGCCGATCAACTAAACAGTGTAGCGCTCTCCACGAGGCTTTTATAAGACCAACACCAATTCCGAACCCGACTCAGCTGCTCCGCCAGACCAGCTGTTGATCACTCCCGATCTTGATCTCTCTTTCCCCGGGAAACTCTCCCTCGCTCTTGCCGGCTCGTTACGTTATTGCACTACGTTACGGGAGTTATCTACCTAGATAGGGGATATGTATGCATAGCTATCTTAAAGAATGAAAAGACCTTTAGTTTGTTATGAACACATCAAATACATATTATTAGATTACAGATATAAACTGCCTTAAAGGGCATGGGTTACAAGCTATTAAATCTAAATTAAATATATTTATTCCACCTTAACTTGATGTCATAGATTAATAGTTTTCTTAGCTAAGTTTTGAATAAATATAAATATTTAAGTAATGATCTTATATCAGATCTATAAAACATTATATTTATAAGGCTAGGGTGTAAAAAATATCACATCATAATGATTTTTAATCATTCAACTTGATTTTAAAGTTATCTAACCCATCTTTTATTACAAATTGTTAAATAAAACCCCATCATAAAAGGGCAGGGTAATTAAAAGTCTAGAAACTCAAGCTCTTACAGGTAGTTGACACATGTTTAATGATTATGTATTATATTAAAGCCACGCTGACCTCTACTTAAGTCCCGTTAACCACTACGTAGCTGGTTAAGAGAGCTATGCTCTCTTGGGTAAATCTCCCGATTTCTTTCTGGTTTTTTTCACCTAACTATTGCTGCGTGGTTGATTTGCACGAGTCAAAGTCAAGTTTTTCCTATGACGTCGTTGCCTGCATTTTTCACTAACTGCAATTTTTCTTTTACTGTGAATCATTTTGCGGTTTTGCTGTGATTTATGATTGGGCTTTGAAATAAAGTTGTGAAAAAGTGCGGTTTGTTGGGGCTTTTGGTATTGTCCGATACTGATCGTTTTTACTAAAGTTTGTCGGACTTGTAGCTATTATTAATAAATCATTTATGGGCATTGTAAAATGATTTTAATTACTGGTTTGTTCAGAGCTTGCCTTAGAAATAGTCTATGGGTTTTACTGGAGAGAAGACTAAGCTCTGGAAAAACTTAATGGGTCTGAGATTAGCCGAGTTAATTGCTTTCTAAATAAGTTGTAGGGCTGATTCGACAAGTTTTTCAATAGGTTGTTCTTAATCTATCAGATAAATGTTTGTTTAAAACATTTTTAATATGTCCGACTTAATTAGTTGAGTCAACAGTCGCTGAATGGAATGCTTTAAGTGGCGGCATTTATTTAGATTATCTGTCGATAAATAAAAATAGGGGTAATTATATTTTCATTTCAAATACTTTTTTAATATTCTTTGAACTTTTAATTTATGTAGTTTTGATTTTACTTTTAAATTACTTAAATATATATTATTTATAAGGTTCAATCTAAGAACGCAACCTTAAATATTGATAAGTACTTTGTTTCTGATCAGTCAAGCCTAAGCAATTCCTTTATATTGAACCCTTAATTAGATTCCAACACGAGCCAAAGATCAAACTACTGTATAGGCTCTCTAGCCCTACCTCAAAATCTTTAATCACCCGATACATTGTAGTTCTATAAATCGCCTTAGTTGGCAATTAAGTTAAGGAAAATTTGTTAAATGGGTCATATGAACAATATGAAACGCTAATTGTTAAAATTATATGCTCTGCAAGCGGAAAAAATCAGGCTTAGCTACCGATATTTATAGCCGCAAATTGTGGTGACTTAGTTGGATTAATGAACTTAGCTCTAAACTGCTAACCCGAACTAACGGATAAATGGCGCAGTTCTTCAAATAACTCATGACATGTAGAGTAATTATTTTCACTCCCAGAGATAATGGAATAGATAGCAATCTGATAATGCAGTTATTTGCCTTGCTTATCAGCACCCAATTATGTGGGTTTTTGTTAACAACAATATCCCCGTTGATAATGCTTGTTTATACCATAGAACCCATTGATTAGGCTACCAACTAAGCCCCAAAACATTTGCTGCACTTCCCATGATCTTTGTACCCAGTTAGTAGAATTCAGGTATAGTATTACCAAATCCCCATCTAATAAACTTCAAATGATGATTTATGTACATATCTGCACTATGTGGATTCCCTTGGCACACGAATGGGTGAGCTCAATGTTTAATTTAAATTTGTAATTCGCATCTCGCAAATCGCCAGACAACGTCACGTTATTTTCCCCTTTGGCGTGGGTTTTGACTAGATTTTCTCAAGATTTTATTAAGCTAGATGGGTGTACTGGGTCTTACTATAAATAGAGTATCTATTTTTATGTATTTTCTAATCAAAGGTGCCAAATATTTGATTAATTAACATATTTTACAATGCTATCAGTTTGTTTTGGTTTTATTAATTCATTTTGTTTACTATTCCGCATAATTATTTTAAAATTGTGTCTTGTTTAAAATTTCTTATCAGTAAGAACAACATAGGTTAAAGTCTACTAAGACCATTTCAAATTATTAGATTTAAATAAAGAATTTTGTTTACAAACATTCCACATCAATTTGTTTATCAAAAATAGATAAAATTTGCTTACAAACCTAGATGGTTTCGAATTCATAAACATTTCTACGATGTTTACAAACAACTCATTGGGTGGAAACTAAATTCCCAAATACATTTTCAACTTTAAATGACACCCACTCATACTGTCTTATTAACCCATATAACTGAACTCAAATAAACAAAAGGTTAATAGGAATTTTGTCACGTTTTTGTGAATAAATTACCTGTTTCGCTTTTCGTCTGAGATGTGGGACATAAGCCTGAGCTTTTTAAATATGAAAAACCGAATAGGCTTAAAAACAAATTACAGTTTGTTGACAGATTCAAACTACGCAAGCAGAGGAGATCACGTTGAAGATGATGACGATGGTGATAATGATGAATCGAGTTTTATATAATCCGGCAAACTGATTAGACATCGCGTGTCCCATTTGAAGCAGAAACTTTTGGGCATACTACTCAAGAATCTATATATATATATTCTGAAAGTTTTTATAAATATTTATATAAATCATATAGCCCTCAGAGGTGACACGATGCTGGAGCATGTCTCTCATAAAAATAATATACCCCTGGGGAAAAAATCTTTCTAAACAAGAGTTTAATCTAAGTTCAAGATCACATATTTTTTGCACACTATAAAGTACTTAGGACGACACTTTTTTTAGTCTGAAAAAACATTTCAAGCTGATAGCGAAATTCGAAATTGAATCGGAAATTGTGAAAAGCAAATAATAACAAAAAAAATAAACCAACATGAGAGGTCTTTCTTTATGCCGGGCCAGAATTCGCAAGAAAATAAAATCGCATTATTAAAAGTACACTTGGGACACCAAATGTTTTGCTAATGAGTGGCATAAACCCATACCCATGATAAATATTTATATATATATATATAAAGATATAGCCAGAACCAAATCGGCTTACGTTCCAAACATTGAACAGCAGAGACCATTTGGCAACTAATTAAGGCTTTTGGCGGATCGTAAGGGGTAAGGCATAGGAATCGGCGACAAAGTCTGGATTTCGGTCTCTAAGCCTGATTGACATGCATACACTGCAACAAAAGGTGGGGGCAGGGTGGATCCGAATTCGCGTGACGTTAGATAAATATGAATGGATCAATGAATGGATAAGTTTATTAAGCTAGAAGGGAGGCTACTTGACAGTTTGGTCTGCTCCCATCTCAATGGGATTGCGGATTCTACGACGATCGTGACGATGGCAACGTAGACCACAAGTTGTATGAATTATTATGAGCTAGTGTTATATAGTTCACTGTCTGGCGATGGGTGCTTCCATGTCTACGGGGTCAGAATTAAACGAACCTTGGATCATAATGCAATAATGGCCAAAATACGTTGGTATCATTAAGTTTTAAATCGTTTTGAGGGCTTAAAGGTTATTTAATTGAGAAATTTAATAGTTTCGTGAATCATATATTTGGCATATATATAAAATGTTTCTGAATTAAATTAGCACATTAAGAGATCCATTACGTTTATCAGAAATTTAATCTTAACTATTATTTAAAAATTAGTAAAGTAGACAATCATTGCACTCCTTGCCCCTTTTTATAATACTGCTTAAATCAACTCCATTAAGTAGATTTATAGAAAAATTAATTTAATTCATGTGTCCACTTTATCACGACAAATCAATTTCTCTTTGGTAATTCCCCAAGCCAAGTTACACGGAACTTCAGTTACTACGTAAATATGTTTAGCCCCAACACAATGCGAATTATTGGTTCTTACCCCAACCAACTAACCACCTACACTCACCGCCCCACTCTGATTGATAATTTATATATATTTATGAGTCACTTTCTTTCCATTCAAATCGAAATGAAACAATATGGAACTGCCGAAAAACCAGCCGGAAACAGCAAAAGAAGACTACGAAAAATGAAGAAGAACAAAATCAGAATGCGAGACATGCGGGACATGACCGTACTTCATAATAAATCCAAATTTTCCTATAACGAAAGGTGTGTTCTGAAAGGAATATGAGTACGCAACCAATTTGCATATGAATATCACTTTGCTTTTTGGTCATTTCATTGTGTTTCACAATCGGAAAGTTGAATAAACTGCAAGAATGAACTGTAAAGTGAAGACAGGCTAGAAGGGATGATGATCCATCCAGTTCGAGATCTTAAAAGGTGGTTGCACCCACTGATTCAACCTTCAATCGATGACAGCTGTCAATGGCTTAACCTTCAGAGATTAATGCTGGAAAAGCAAGGAAAAACAATACTGGATCACACAGCTGTTGCCACTGGCGACTTTATCGACATGGCATTATAGGCAAACTTGACCAATATTCTTTATCGTACACGAAGAAAAACCTCGAGAAAAAATGTGGGCTTAAAATTATTTGCATTTGATGATAGAAAATCTAAATATTACAAAAAATATAAATTTATTAAAAAGATTAAAAAGTTTTTTCATTTTAGTTTAATTTTCTTAGAATATTTCTATTTAATTTAAAAAAAAAAGAACCTGGATTTTTTCATGTCTAAACTTTAAAAAATAAAAGTCGAAGCTTAAGACCCTCGGCTAAAGCCAATCAGCATGATTAGCAGAAAAAAAATCCATCAATTGAATGCCAATTGAGCAGATTAAGGAAAAACAAGAATAAAATGACCAAAGAGGAAAACCAAAGAGGGTGTGGGGAAAAAAGAAGGTGATGGAAGACAATAGAGGGTTAGTAGGTAACCAGAGGTCGGAAAACTTTTATGCGCCGCAAACAAAAACAGGAAAACGGAAAATATCAAAATATGGAAATTGTGAGAGGCACTATTGAGATATAAATACGGCGTAAAATGTTCCGGTATTCCTTAATGGAACTTATTGTTACTCATCACAGGGTTCAAAAGTCCTAGCACTTAGTTATATGTATGTATATTATATATATATTTCAAGTTAATCGCTTTAATAATTAGCGCTTAATCTTTGCACTACTGACTTGTGATTTATAGGCGATTTTCACATTAACTTTCAAACTTTTAGTTTTAATTTCCACAAGCATTAAATAAAATAAAATAAAACGTTTTATTTAACCGCTACTTGATGCGCCTGCAACTGCAGTGAAAGAACAACTAACTATGCGAAGGGAAATGAAAACAAAACGCTTAATAGCATAGGAAAGAGAGAGGGGGTGAAATTGTTTCAAGAGGGTTGAAAATGCATTCTCTGAATATTAGCTAGAGGGCGCCAAATGTTATAAATTTTGAATTCATATAACAGCACGCTGTTAACTAAAATAGTGGTGTTAAGCGCACTGAAGCTGTTAACTGAGAACAGCTGAGCTGGTCGCCTCTGTCATTGCACGCTGTTTTTGTTTTCATGGAAGTTTAGTAAATATCTAAACATAAATTATGAAAATATCACGTTTTAAGAAGTCCCACAAAACCCTGGTGTTCTTTGCCACCAATTTCGACTACCGGGAACCCTATCAAGTGCTTATCGATGCCACCTTTTGCCAAGCTGCGTTGCAAGTGAGTTGTACACTTCAAAAACCTGTTAGAGTTCCTAATTTATTGCTTAATTTGCAGCAAAAAATTGGCATAGATGAGCAGATAAAGAAGTATTTTCAGTGTAACGTGAAACTTCTGACTACTCAGTGTGTTATCCTGGAAGCGGAGTCCCTTGGGTGCTCCTCTAACTGGAGCCACATCGATCGTCAAGCGATTCTATGTCCACAAATGCGGACACGAGGGAAAACCAGTTGCTGCTGGTGAATGCATAAAATCTATGGTAAAATATATATTGACCCTTTATTTCGAAAATACTAAATTTAGTTTTAAACTTATCTTTTAGACTAAGGACAATCGCTATATAGTTGCCTCCCAGGATCGTCTGCTGCAAGAGAGTCTTCGTAAGATTCCCGGTCGTTGTCTACTGTATCTGCACAAAGCCACTCCAGTTTTGGAAGCCCCATCTAAAGCATCCAAAAAGTGGGTACAAAGACGTGCAAAAACTTAATGCTGGGCAAACAGGCTGAAAAAATCGACTATATGAAGGAAAAACAGGGCCTAAAGACTACTGAAACTGCAGTTAAGCCTAAGAAACATAAAGGACCCAAGAACCCCAATCCACTGTCTTGCAAAAAGAGCAAAAAGGAAAAGGCACAGCCACAAAGGAGTCTCAAAGGAGTCGAGCAAAACGCAATAACCAAGGCGAAAAGAAAACGGGTCAAGTTACCTGCTCATGTCAAGGCAGCATTAGGAAAAGATTAGATTAAATTTGGCTTAACAAGTAGATAAATATGCATAAGATAAAGAAAATTAAAGCGCAATCTGGTAAAAAAAAAATAGGAATACAAATGGATAAAAGGCAATTAGAATTAGTTAGTTGAGAATTATTTACTTCAAATATCAAACAATTATTACAATTGATCCAGTTTAAATAATTATAAAAGAGTAGTAATTAGCTTTCTAATGACTCAAGAGAAATCAAATATTAAGGTATTAACGCTTAGGAAATTCTTCTGATAAATATTTATCAATGAACTTTTGGTTACTCTTGAAAGAAATATGAAGACACGTCTTTGTAAGCTTACCACAATATCTCCTTTGCTCTCCATTTGCGTCGTAGAAGCTGTTAAGTGCCCACTGTGCCTTACAAAGTATCACAATTTAAACACTCAACTTAATCTTGAGTATATATTTATATGTTTATTTCTTTATATAGTTAAACATCGTATAATAGTATACAAGTTGACTGAGAACCATTTGAAGGAGGAAGAGAGGGCAAGGGCGAGCCGAAACTTTGTAAACTTACCACAATATCTCCTTTGCTCTCCATTTGCATCGTAGAAACTGTTAAGTGCCCACTGTGCCTTACAAAGTATCACATTTTAATCTCTCAACTTAATCTTTAGTACGTATTTATATGTTTATTTCTATAGTTAAACATCGTACAATACTATAAAAGTTGACTGAGGGCCATTTGAAGAAGGAAGAGAGGGCAAGGGCGAGGCGAATCTTGTTCAGCGCTATTATCAAATGGGGAGCAACATTTGCACCGAAAAAGCTGATAAGTCCCCACTGTGCCTTACAAAGTATCACAATTTAAACACTCAACTTAATCTTGAGTACATATTTATATGTTTATTTCTTTATATAGTTAAACATCGTATAATAGTATAAAAGATGATTGAGAACCTGAGAGAAAGAGAGGGCAAGGGCGAGGCGAATGAAAGATCTTCTCACAATTTGCCCTCGCGAATCTTGTTCAGCGTTTTTTCGGTCATTAACTGACCCACGATCTTGGTCAATGTGGGATTCCTGGCACAATATGCCATTGGATTGACCGGGAAAAGGCCACACCAAGTGAGATCCATTTTGTTGGCCAGAGCAACGGCAAAAAGATCTCCACATCTCTGGGGTGTCATACGTTTTTGATTGGCTGTACTTTGACCCACTTTATCGCCCTGCGAGCCCGTAAAGGCTTCCTGCAGGAAATCTGTGGCAATGGGTCCCGGTGCAAAGACGGATACATCCAGCTTGCGCATTTCCACTTTCAGGGAAAACAAATAGGCATTCAAAGCGTGTTTGGCAGCACAATAGGTGGGTGAAAATGGAATTGGACTGAAGCCAGCGATGCTAGAAGTGGCAGCCAGATGACCTCTACCGCCATTCTGTTCCACGAAGTAACGCACCACCAAGCGACTAAGATGAACCACAGAGAAGACATCCAGTTCGAAGAGCTCCCGATCAACTTCAATCTCGATTTCGGTCCAACAGGCACGCTGGGATCTACCAGCATTGTTTACCAGCACATCCAGTCTATGGAAATGATTGAGCACCTTATTGAGATGTGTTTTATGCTGATTTAATTCCAGCATATCCATTTGTATGACTAGCACATCCTTAGTGGCCAGTAATCCTTTAGCTGCAGCCAGACATTCTTCTTGAACTTTCTCTAATTGATCCAACCTGCGAGCGCTGAGTACCAATTTCACTCCATGTTTTGCCAAACTAACGGCTAGTGCCCGGCCAATTCCACTTGATGCACCTGTTATCCAAACCACTTGACCGCGCATTGATGATAAGGAGACTCCGAAGCGGGATTTGTACCAAAGGGCAACATTACAGTCAAGTAATATCCAAAGCAGGACATAGCCCACATAGTAGAGAACCAGCAGGAGCAGCAAAAACTCCAGGAAGGACATCTTGATGGATTTTGCGTGGCACTGGTAAGTCTGAGATACCTTTGTCCTCTGCCGCAACGGAAGACACTGAAAGCGGGTTTTCTACATTCTAAAACAATTAAAGCCTAAGTGGGTCGAACGGTCAGCTGGCCGGAGGTATCAGAGATGAGGCAGTGACTGTGGCTAGGTAATCACTTTGCCGGGAGATTTCAAATCTCTATGTAATGAAAAAGGAATACTACAAGGATATCGAATCTTTTGCAGCTTAATAATATTTAAACATATTTTTTATAGCATTTGGGATATAATTACTATAATTTGGAGCTCATGGTAAGTATGTATAAACTCGTCGAAAAGCTATCTCTTCTGCTCATCTCTGACAGTTTCTTTTACGTAAACGAAATTAGTCTTACAACACTCCACCTGTGCGCCAACAATCACATCAAAATTCAACACAAAATTCAATTTTACATTTTTTTAAATTTTATTTGTAAGTAAAATAAACTAATAACTAATCCTAGGCCTGCAGGAAGTCACCCAGATTATCGCATATTTTGTCAATTTCCGTATAGCCCGTTTGTTCCAGCGCCATAATGGCATTAGCCAGGGCAATCGTTTCTTTGAGGGAATGAGCCTTCAGCCAAATCCTTCCGTTGACACCCACAGCGATCTCGTAGGGCAATTGTCGGGTTAGGGCAGCAAGTACCGGACAGTTTTCCCGGAGAAGCATCCTAGCCAGATTTAGACTGCACTTAAAGAAAAATCCTTCGGCAAGAACGCCTAGTTTACCACGTTTGCCCACGGAATTGACGCAAACCAACTCAGGTTCTATATCAGCACTGGCATTCAGAATTCTTGCGTAGATCAGATCTCCAGGGTTTAAATCAGGGCGATTCTTTTTGGTGGCCGACTCAAAGGCTAGGTAAGATATAGAAGCCGTATCAGCTGCTCCGATATCCACGCGATATATATCACCAGCCTTAGAACGAACTACTCCCAGGACCAAATCTCCACGTGCCGGTATATATCTCCTTTGATAGTTGTCCACCCAAAATGTGGCAGGTTCCTTGTGACGAAGTGGTCCCGCCTTGCTGGCCACTACTGTTTCGTCTTGTCGGCGCAGTCCAGGTCCCAAAATCACCCGTTTGCTCTTGGCCAACTCTTCAATGGCCGTAATACGCTCTCCGGGCATCACTATTGTGCTGGTTGTAGTCATTTTAGAGAGATTGCGGGTTTTAGGAACTCCAAACAAAAATTCCGCGTGTGTCTTTCAAAACATATGTTTGAGCTGAGGTGTTAATCAACACTACCGTTTGTCACCACTGGTCTTAACAGCTTTAGGTAACATGCGTAAAAATGTTAAAAGATAAATTGGTGTGCAGCTATTAGCAGAACATTCACATAAAATTACTCCATGCTATAAGTTATACAAATTTCTTTTCTTTATATGTATAATACATAAACATTTAAATATAAATACATACATAGAACAACATAAGTTTCCTTACAAAAAATATATATATATATTATAAAGAAGCTATAATTATTATTATTATCCTTTAATTACAATTGAAACTGCTTTTGTGTTAACAGAGAGTTTATGACAATGTTAGCTACGGTATACAAAATTATAGTTCGATCAGCTGTTGTGCTATAAACAATCGTACGTTTTTTTAACACCGCCTTAGAATTTTTATTCTCTATTGCTTTCAGCTAAAAACGCGTGAATAACAAAAAGTATGTGACTTTGAATGACCTGAAAGTCCAGAATTCACTGGAAGATGTATTGACATGGTTTTAAATAATCCACACTTTCTGTCATTTTGTTGTTTATGTTTTAATTAACTATTAACTTTGACATTATTTCCTGCTCTCTTTTAGTAAAGACATGCAATCCACAGCTGCCTGTGGAATGTAATTCCTCTAACCTTGTGCGAAGGTCAATTTTCCCCAAAAAAATATAGGAATTATACCAAGAAAAACAACAACTACGGGAAAACGCACCCCCACATTTAAAACCGGCGAGCACCTGGAAACGCATACATATACAAAGAGAGAAAAAGTAAGTCGCTCTCAAAAAGTTTATAGAGATGGTTATATAATCATCGAATAAGCTTTTTATTTTACGCATTCAAAATATATTTGTAAAGTTAAGCAAAGTTTAAAAGAAACAATTTTATCTTGTTTAAACCGACAGTAAAATTAAATCAAATTATCATATAAATGTCAATACAAACTCGACTTTATATTTTGTTTATTGGAATTTCTGAACTATTTTTTATGTTAGTTGAAATTCTTTTAATCGATATTGTTTCCAGCTCTAAGCATTCTCTCAGCTGCTCTTCAAGTTCCACACAATGGCGCAAATTCTGACGCTGCGTTGGGCTCTCCCCAGAATTTTGTCGTCGCGAACGAGCAGCGTAAAATCGTCGAGCGTTTTCTCAGCGGTTTCAGTCGCCGTCAGAAGCAAATCAGCAGCCAGCCAGCTCTCATCTGGATTTAACTTTCTGCAGTTTCGTAAAAGTACTTGGTATGTATAACTGTGCTGTGGGTGTGTGCGTGGGTCCAGCTTATAAAAATATTTAATTATTTTATCTACAAAGTGTATGCAGATTTAAATTCCAACTATCAGCTATTAAATTCAATCATTTTTTGCCAACGATTTTCGTGCGATTATCTAACAAATTGTGCTGTGCAAATTTTCAAGTGGGGCATTTTCGTAGATATTTTCCGATCGATTTAATTGTACAAATCAAATAATGTCAATTGACAGCTTATTGTTATATCGCTATAAATAAATACTTTCGTTTTTTGCAACATTTGCACGTATTCCGGCTTTACTGAGTGCCTCACTTTGCGTTTGACCTTTAAAAGTAGCTTAGAGGTCATTCGGTTGTTCGTTGAGAGAAAACTGAAAAACTCTCCCACTGAGACAACAGGAAAAGCGGAAAATGCCGCGCGTGTCAATGACTCTAAATAATTTTAGAAATATTTAATTGAAATCTGAAGACAAATTAAATATAGAAAATAGAGAGGGGAATTTCGAGACGATTCCATGGAGAAAGTCACATAAAAGGCAGAAATGAAGTTACACCACTGGGCTATTTATATTGCATGCGATAATAATGCAATTGAATAATGATAATAAATTGTAAAAACTGTAAAAAGAATATTGCGAAAAAAAACATTACAAATTATTCAAACTATTTCATGTATATAAATAATTTTAAATATTTTTGAGAAATAAATATACTCTAAAAAAAAAGGGAATTATTAATTTCCTATCACCCTTTTAACCAATAACATTTTTCACTTTTTTTTTGGAAGTTTTATCCAACTTTTTTAAACTTTAAAAACAATTTTTTAAGAATATTTGGATATATTTGGAATATTAAGTATATTTGGAATATATGCATTGATTTTTATCTGATTTTAATTAAGTTTATATAAAGAAATGTAACACAATTTTGAAATGTTTCCAAATATTTGTCTTATTTAAATTACAAAACGACGAAGAGAAAACAGATTTTAGACATTTATCTTTATAAAAAAATGTGTTATATTTGTTTTGAATTAGATTAATACATTTAATTAAAGTATAAAAAACCTCAAAAACCAGAATTTCGATATTTCCCAACAAAGTAGCCTTATTACGAAGTCAGTTAACTTAGCATATTATTAATTAGTTATTAAATAACAAAATGTCTGGGTTTTCGGGAATATTCTGGTGCCCATCAAACATGAATTTTAAAGGAGATTATCTACGGTCAGCTGTTGTTATTTTAGACACCATGCCTAGATTAAAATTGTTGATAGTGAAAGACTAATTTGTGTTTTTTGTGGACTTTGATTTTTGCAGTGACAGCAACGAGATGACCATCAAAGCTATCAAGGCCCGTCAGATCTACGACTCCCGTGGCAACCCCACCGTGGAGGTCGACCTGACCACCGATCTGGGACTTTTCCGTGCCGCCGTGCCATCCGGTGCCTCCACTGGTGTCCACGAGGCTCTGGAGCTGCGCGACAACGACAAGGCCAACTACCATGGCAAGTCGGTGCTGAAGGCTGTGGGCCATGTCAACGATACCCTGGGACCCGAGCTGATCAAGGCCAATCTGGATGTGGTCGATCAGGCTGCCATCGACAACTTCATGATCAAGTTGGACGGCACCGAGAACAAGAGCAAGTTCGGTGCCAACGCCATTCTGGGTGTTTCCCTGGCCGTTGCCAAGGCTGGTGCCGCCAAGAAGGCCGTTCCCCTGTACAAACACATTGCCGATCTGGCTGGCAACAAGGACATCATCCTCCCAGTGCCCGCTTTCAATGTCATCAACGGTGGCAGCCATGCTGGCAACAAGCTGGCCATGCAGGAGTTCATGATCCTGCCCACCGGCGCCACCTCTTTCACTGAGGCCATGAAGATGGGCTCCGAGGTGTACCACCACCTGAAGAACGTCATCAAGGCCAAGTTCGGTCTGGATGCCACCGCCGTGGGTGATGAGGGTGGCTTCGCCCCCAACATTCAGTCCAACAAGGAGGCTCTGAACTTGATCAGCGATGCCATCGCCAAGGCTGGTTACACCGGCAAGATCGAGATCGGCATGGATGTTGCTGCTTCTGAGTTCTACAAGGATGGCCAGTACGATCTGGACTTCAAGAACGAGAAGAGCGACAAGTCGCAGTGGCTGCCAGCCGATAAGTTGGCCAATCTGTACCAGGAGTTCATTAAGGACTTCCCCATCGTCTCGATTGAGGATCCCTTCGACCAGGATCACTGGGAGGCATGGACCAACCTGACCTGTTCCACCAGTATCCAGATTGTTGGTGATGATTTGACCGTGACCAACCCCAAGCGCATTGCCACCGCTGTGGAGAAGAAGGCCTGCAACTGCCTGCTCCTGAAGGTTAACCAGATCGGTACCGTCACCGAGTCTATTGCCGCTCATCTGCTGGCCAAGAAGAACGGATGGGGCACCATGGTCTCTCACCGTTCCGGCGAGACTGAGGACTCGTTCATCGGCGATTTGGTCGTTGGACTGTCCACTGGACAGATCAAGACCGGTGCTCCCTGCCGCTCGGAGCGTCTGGCCAAGTACAACCAGATTCTGCGCATCGAAGAGGAGATCGGCGCTGGCGTGAAGTTTGCCGGCAAGTCCTTCAGGAAGCCCCAGTAAGCGTAGGCCACTTCAAAATTCCAACCACATCAGCCCCATCGAATGAGATCTGGATCTTGTAGAGGGAAACTGGATGCAGAAGAAGATCCAAGGAAAGGCGGCGGCGGAGCACGTGTTCGTCAACCTTTTACTTTCGGAATTTGTGTCTGGCGCACAAATGAATCAGAAATTAATTACCAAAACCATTTGCTGTCTCTATGCTTCGTTATTAGACATTATTATTAATGTTAAACCTTGATCTAATCATTATTTATAAAAACAAAAGATAAACCTTCAAAAAACACTATGTACGAGATGTTCAGTCAGTTATCAACAGCTTGGAATATCTTTAATATGTAGTCGCTGTAATTGTTTTCAAATTATATATTGATCTACACACAAACACCAAAAAAACACACAGATACAGGCAGTTATTCACTTCAGAAATGGTTACAAAATTATTGTTGAGACATAGAACTTAAGCAGAAAGTCGTTAAAAATCATTCTCATCGAATACACGGTGTTTAATAGTCGAGATCCCACAGGAAAATAACATACACCAAATATAATACATATTGAGAGTGCGTACAAATATTCAATTTGTTAGTTGATGTGAAATAAAAAATATAAAAGATATCTTTGAATTGTTTTTTTGAAATTATATTGGAGATAAGGGCGTTGCCAGATAGATCTTTGAAATCAAGTAAAAGTTCAAAAAATTTTACGATGTTTCTACATTGATGAATCCCCAAACTCAAAAAGGTTGAAATATTTCAGACTTTTGGCTTGACAACTTTTTATAAAAGGAAATATAACGATAGGAACAGTTATAAAACTAGCGAATTATCAGTTACTAACTAACTACATAAGAGTTGTTAATTGATAAGAATTTGATAGCTAATGGGCTTGTACGATTAGAAAGTATTATAATCTTTAAAATATCTGGAGAGTGTATAGATTACTTAAGTCTTAGTTTATTTTCCAAGCAATTTGATCCCACTTAATCTTAGCAATTTAAGAGCATCTTTCTAATGATGCCTTTTCGTTATTTTTAAAACCTTTTAAACCTTTTTTATAATACCCATTTTAAATTTTACAATAATACTTTTTTTTTTTGTTTCCAATTTTGATTATTTAACAGAATTTTACATATATATTTTAGCTTAACTTTAAAAAATCTATTAAAATTAAGAAATTTTTGTCTTCGAATTTTGGCTTGAAATTTAAATTTAAATCCTAGAGTGAACCAAAATTGCTTCCCCATCGAAGTTTCTCTCCCAAGGTTTGAAACCCACATATTATTCATACGTGGGGCATTTTTAGGAAGTTCCTATTCCCATAAGCCCCAAGTTATTTTTTAACGGTTCCAATGCGGTCACTCTGATGGACGTGTTTTTTTTACGGCGGATGGAAATAAATTTACTGCAAATTTAAATCACAAACGTTAAGGATCGGCGACTGACTAAAAATAAATAGTGCTCGATTGATGGATAACAACTATGTACATTCTAAACATAATTTAAGATAAAGCTTATTGGTGAAATCAACTGCAGTTGCATAACTCATTGCCAAAAAAAAAGTCGAAGGAAAAAATCACAACAGCTAAGCAAAAAAGTTCGAAAGAAAGTTCAAAGGAACAAAAAAAGTGGCGAGAGGAAGAAGAGGAGAACGCCGTTAGTGGGTTAAGAGCCCCTCCTCCTGGGGCCACCAGCACCCCTGTACCCCCGCCCACAACGTGCCTTAAAATAAATTCCGTGTTTTAAATAAAAAAAAAAAAAAAGAGAAAAAAGGAAAATCAAGTGCGCGTTAATTGCTTCTAAGTTATTCAATAACAAAACATACAAATATTAAAAAAGAAATTTGGAAAAATATGTCCCAAAACACAGCCGATACTCTCATACATTTAATTGCCGGCGGGTAAGTAAAACCCATTAGTTCTAGTCATTTTTTTTCCCTATTGCGTCTTATCGCAGGTCAGGCCATCATATAAAAAATAAACCGGTTTGCCTGGGATTTAATTGAAAATTCGAGGCGAAAACGTCGCAATTGCGATTAGATTTAGTTCACAAATGTGAATTGAACATTTTTGGCGCCATTGCCAAAAAAGAAACCCCATAAAACAAAAACAAAACAGGAAAAAAAGAAAGGCCGAAAAGAGCAGTAAAAAAAGAACAGTCTGATCTTCAGGAAACACGCTCTGTTCACGTGTTTTTTATTTATTTTATATTTATTATACGGGAACGACAGCTGGTGAAATCACAACGGAGATAAAAGAACAACGTAAAAAAACACGAAATGCAACAAACAAACATAAATAAACAAAACAAAGCAAAATCGAGGGGGTCTGTCCCTTTATTTCTTTATATCACCATTTTTCTCAGTTCATTTTCCCAGGCAATGTCCAATTGGAATTTTCGTTGCCCTCCGATAAGCTTCAATTATTTTGTTGTTGTTTCTTTTTTCCTTTTATTACTTTTATTGTTGCTTTTATGTGGGCTATTTTTAGACGCGTCGCATCTGAATTTGTTTTTGTTGTCACATGCACCCTATACAGACACTTGCCGGCATATTGGTTGTTATGGATAACCTGTTATTTGTTTGATAAAGTCGAGCCCCTGGTCATTCGGGAAATGTTAATTTAACTGGGGTTATAAGTAATAACTGGTGACCGGTTATTTATGTTTCTTAGATCTCTGCTTGGGGAAGTATTTTTATCGTGTTTCTGAGGGCTTGGAAGGGGTATGTAAATAGAAACACTTGTTTTAAGATGCCATTTATTAATATAATAATAATGATTTTGATAGTACCATAAAAATGGGATCTTAGAACATTTTTAAATAAGGATCTTTTGTATTCTCTTCAGTTTTGAAGTCTCTATTACTCTTTAAAATTGTAAACTAAATTAATTTTAAGTTTTAAGATTTTTAAGGATGAAATTGATTAACACCATACATTACGATCTTCACTAAATATTTATCTTAACAAACAAACCTTGTTAAATCCCAACAATACCCCTTGATTAACTTAAATTAAATTCGCCTTGATAGAGGCCTTTTATATGACCTCTGATTATAAGGCCACAGTGCAAATCCCCTAAAAAAAACTTTTTGCAATCAAGTCACAGGGCAATTTGCCGGCCGGCAGCAGCTTAAGTCCTCTTATCAACTGCCAACAAAACTAAATAGTAACGACAACAATGCAGTTTCAATGTGCACAGTTTGTCGTAAGACTTCTCTCTTTACCCAAGTTGCTTGCATATATGCGTAATATATACTTTAACTAGAAGGGGTTAAAGTAGAAGAAACGAAATGCACGTTGAAACTTGAGCTGGCTTAGTTCCCTTAGTTGCTGTTACCGTCTTCTGGTTGTCGCTAGTTTCCCAAGTATCTCGTGTTGGGACACGTTAGAAGAAAACCGAAGAAAAAAAGTAAAATAAAAACAAAAACAACCTTGCCTGCCGCACATTGTTATCGCTATAAATAAGCCACAAAGCAAACAATTAAACGACATCCATCTAATCAAGCATCAGAAGCCTTTTGAGGCGGGACTTACATAAGTGTAGACAGTTCAGGATTGTAAAATGGGGCAGAAATAAATTCCCTTTAGAAAATATTTTTATAGATATAAGAAGAAATATTATTTTACCAAAAAAAATGAATTTAAAAATCATTTCATTCTTTTTTTATAGGAAATAGGAAAATATTTTTAGAAAAAAGATGCCTTATTAAACCTGAAAACTTAAAAATGAAATGTTTAAGAACTATTAAAGGAAAACAACATATAACTTATATTTCTAAATATGTTTCTATTTAATAGACATATTAAACTGATACTATATAAACTTAAACGTTCCTGAATAAACACCAATTAGTAGGAATTGCGAAATAGTGAAATCGGTTCAGACAGCTAAGATCTATTCCCTATATGTTTTTCGATTTGGCACACCATATTGCACATTTCTCTACCCACCGACATACTATATACCATATACTATAGTGCATTGTGTTTTTTGCCTACATATTTTGCTGTTATTTGTCTAGAAACAAATCTAAATTGAGCTTGGCAAGCGATTTCGAATTTGTTTTGGTTTTTCAACGCAAACAGACCAGGCAAATAAACTTTTTCTGGCACACTGACTCAGTTGAAGGCGAGTGTGGGGATTGCAACAAACAACAGAGACCAAGGTGTTTTCTAGGCGGCATTACAGGGGCTATGGCTACGGCTATTGCTATGGCTAAATAAACAATGTCACCAAAGCTGCAACTTGCACGAAATTCCCCTGCAATTCCTGTTCTGCGTGTATTTATAGTTTTAGTATCGTTTCTTTCTTGTAATTACGTGAAAATTTCCATCATCTGGGATTTGTTTATAAACTTTGGTGGTTTACTTGCTTGACCGGGTTAAGATATTGAACATGTTTTCACCGCTCTTGCCTTTTATTCATCCGTGTCTCCCTGCACGTACGCATTTATTTAGAGAATTGGTTAGGCATATATTGAACTTATTTGTAGTACTAAAATGAGCCAAAAAAGTGATTTTTCATTAAAAGAGGAACTAAATTAATAGCTTTTATATTATATTGATTCATCTTACTTATACTTGTTTTAATGATACTTTTTTAATATTCCTAAATCATTTGCCAACGTTAAAATTGTGCCAAGGGCATCTAGTTTATTATATATAACAAATATATATATATATTTATATATATCAAACTGTGAGAAATGCGAAAGAAAAACAGGAAAATTATAGAAGGTCGCGTGCCAAGTTGTATTTTCGGAAACGAAACTTATTTTAATGAACTTAATTTAGCCATAATCAAACTTTAAATTTGGTTATCTTAAACGTTTTTTAAGCCCAACTATCGGCTAAATATAGTTCACCTGTTTAACCTTCGCTTCCTTTGACCCATAAACAATAACATTGAAAACTTTCCATAGATTTCATAATCTAAAAAAGAAGCAGGAGCCAAAAAAAAACGTGAAAATAAAATCAGCATTGATAAGGTGGGAACTTAAGTCTGCGAAACGCAAAAAACCATTGAAATATGCGTACTATATATTTGTTTCTTTTGTTGTTGTTGTTTTTGTGATAAGGGAAGTCTCACCGAGAAGTGGGCTTTATCAGTCATAAATATAAACGAAGGTGTGGGGGAGATTCTTTTTCAAGCAGCTGGACAAAAGTCACCCCAGCAGAGGCTGACGCATTACTAAAATGAAATTATCACATCAAATATAAAAGGTTTTATTTTTTCTTTTTTTTAAATATAACCCATAGACGATGTCTGCGGGGTCCAAAATTTCCTATCTTTCTTATCTGTGCAACGCGTGTGTTTTTTACGGGGAGCAATGTCAAAGAACAGATAAATCGCACATTAACCGGTTGTAAATTGCACGATTTTGGCACATGCGTCGCCGAAAGGCCATCGATCGGGAATAGCTATATACTCTGACATATATAGCTATGTGATCTTTGAGTAGCTGTCCGAATGTACTTGAAATGCACATGTAGAACCTTACTATAATTGAGAATTTCACATGCTTTATATTTCACACATGATCACCATACATTGTTTGCCTTTTTGTTTGAGGAATTTATCTTAAATGGTGGATCAATAATGGATTTATTTGAGATCTTTCTGATACTGCGATTTAGTTTGTATTTTATTGATTTTAGCTGTGAAGCATGACTTGCCTTTTTGCTATTTCTAACTAATCTTTAATTATCATTCAGAAATATATATTCAAATATTTCGCTTTCTCTCCTTAGAACAAAGTAATTTTTGTATAAAAACCTATAAATAAATCTTCTAATTGATAGTACATTTTACACCTTGTCTTTGATATTTCATTGCAATATTTGAGCTTCCAATTACTTGCAACTCTCATTTATCACACTTAAACTCGCAGTCCAACAACTCTAACTAGTTTACCCAATAACTAATCACCTCATTCCGCCAGTCACTTAATTGTTCTATTGAAATTCGACTTATCCTTGTTCTGTTTGTCCAACTGTCTGTCTGAACGGCTTTCTTTTAGCTTGAAAAAGGGGAGCAAATTGCTTTATTTTCGCGTGATGTGCCAGCCAGATGCTAATTGAAATTCAATAGTCGAGCTTCCAGCTAATGCATTTATTAAATGTGATTAATTTCTATTGACTAGCTAACAGTAGAAGAAAGTATCTAGATTGAATTACCAAAAAGGCAGCATATGGTGGCGTGTTTTCCCAGCTATGAAGACAAGTAAGCACAGGTTCCAAAAGCAATTATGTCACAGTCATTATGCATACTAGATCGGGCAACCATAGAAGTACTATATACATATGTTTTAATGGACGTGGTTTAGTGATAGGCAGAACCTAATAATATTGCTGATAAGGGGAGGCTGCTTTTGTCCGGTCATTGCAATTCATCCGCTGGCAGGCATATCAAAGGTTATCAAAAGTAGAGCCGGGTCAATCTGGAACCAGTTTGGACCGGTTCTCCCTATAGCCTGTAGCCATTGCAATCTCTAACAGATTTGCGAAATCAAACGAGGGAAAAGCAATTCCCATTCGCCTACCAGACAGTTGATTAAGTTTTGTTATTTTTTTTTTATTTTTATTTTTTGTGCTCTAGGATTAAGGGAGACATTCGTGTCTGTCCCCAAAGTATCTCTCATCGATCAAACATTTTTCCCGTCTAGCTTTTCTCTGCCATTTAATTTCCGCTTTTTTTGTTCTCTTTGTTGCATAACCATTTCTCCCCCTTTTGTGAGTTTATTGCCACCGATTATTATTATAATTTAATTTCATGGTTCGCGGTTGCCAACTGGCAATTTACAAGTTTGCGATCACGAGTTATGCTTCTGCAAATATATATTTTCCTAGATAACCAAGTTCCCATGTGCTTATAGATAGAGGTAATCAGTGTATTGGCTTTTGGGAAAGGTCGTGTATAATTAATTTTTTGGGGGCACTCTTTCGCCGAGGTGTAAACAAGTTTCTTTTAATCTTTAGTAAACTTAAAGCCAAGGTTAAGGTAGCTGTGGGGTATGAACTTCTATGGGTAATTAGATAAGTTGAGTATCTATCATGAATTTCACTTCAATTTTCTTTAGTTTCCTAATTGACTGAAAGCCACAAACAATTTCTTCACACATTGCCAGTTTGTAGCTATTTTACAATTCAGTAAACAATTATCTGACCTTGTCAAGACATGCACTTGGAATTTCAAATGAATTGAAATAGAAAATGTTCTATAATTTGCTTGTGTTACTTGATAGGCAATCGCCTCATTTCCAGCTATTCTTTGATTTTTGCCACAACCACAAGCCTTTCATTGCATTAGGCCAAATGCTATTCATTTCCAATGCAGCCAATCAAATATCCCCACCACTTAAAATGAAAATTGAAATGGAATGGGACATGGATGTACTCAAGTAGTTCTGTCTATACTAGATGCACACAGAATGAAAACACATTTTTAGCCAGGGAATTGCGCAAATCCAAGAAATACGAGTTTGGGATATAGATATTTTTTCGTTTTCCGCTTGCTCGATTGCCAAATGAGATTTATTTTTGTGCTGTTCATAGTTGCCAACCCTTGCCATTGAAAATGTGAGGAAAGTTTATGAGGGGGCGTTTAGTTTCTTTCAGGCACTTAGTTTGAAAGATTTGTTGCTCTTGAAATGTTAATATGTCAAATATTTAAAGGTAACTATTCCTTTTAATAATATTTGGGTAACAAAAAAGAAATACAAATTATAAAAGAGTTCACAAACCCAAATTATTAAGAAGGAAAAACAATTTTAGAAACATTTGAAAATAGTATGGCATACAAATATATATTAAATAAACTTAGTTTACATAAACTTTTAGAATATAAACCTTCATAAATATAACTTTAAGGGTGGCAAGGTCGAAATTCTAGTTAAAGAAGTTCCAATTATTTCCTCCCCCAAAAAGTATTTAGTTCCTAACTCTATTTTTAGTTCATATTTTTAATTACAACAATACTTATTTCAATATTTTGCGATTATTTTCATCAATACAGTTCCGCTGGCACAGTGGGAGCTGTGGTTCACATGTCCCCTCGAAGTGGTCAAGACACGTCTACAGAGCTCAACGGCTTTTATGACGCCGTCGCGTCTGGCGGAGAATGCCGGTGGACCGGCGAATGGTGGCCAATCGGAGCTATTGCGGCCGGAACAACGACGTAAGCTAAGCACAACGATATTACGTAACAGATCACAGCCACAGGTGATTGGGGGTGTGCGTAGGGTAGTACCAAATTCTTTTTACCTATTCTCTTTCTCATACCCATTTAAACCCACTGCCACTGCATCCTAACTTAGCTTGATCTCAAGCCATATAACCTCTTTGCACTCTGAAAAAAATATGATACAGCCTTTTAACACCTTCGATACCTTCATCTCCATTGCCTTGTATTTGGTTTTTATGGTTTTCTAATCAAATATCTTCTTTTTTTGTGCCCTTGCAGATCATGGCCATTTCACATTGCGGCATCTCATCCACAACACCCAAAACCATGAGCATCGTGCAGTGCCTGCGGTAAGTATCCACTTTTTCTTTTAAAGGAGTCTTACTAATAAATCTAAACTTGTAGACACATTGTCCAGAACGAGGGCACCCGTGCTCTGTTCAAAGGTCTGGGTCCGAATCTCGTGGGCGTGGCCCCATCCCGTGCCATATACTTTTGCACCTACTCACAAACCAAAAACACGCTCAACAGTTTGGGGTAAGTCTCTCCCTCCACTTAAGGTTACCCTTGCCCTATTTATACTTTCATGTAATCTCCAGCTTCGTTGAACGTGACTCTCCTTTGGTGCACATAATGAGTGCAGCTAGTGCTGGTTTTGTCTCCTCCACGGCCACGAATCCCATTTGGTTTGTCAAGACGCGGATGCAGTTGGACTATAACTCCAAGGTGCAAATGACCGTGAGACAGTGCATCGAGAGGGTCTATGCTCAGGGTGGTGTTGCTGCCTTCTACAAGGGCATCACCGCCAGCTATTTTGGAATCTGCGAGACCATGGTTCACTTTGTCATCTACGAGTTTATCAAGTCTAAGTTGGTAAGTATCCGAAGTTATTTTTAGTTTTTGGTTCTCTTTTAATTTTGTTTCTATCTGAACTATAGCTGGAGCAGCGAAATCAGCGGCATACGGACACAAAGGGATCCCGAGACTTCCTGGAGTTCATGATGGCTGGGGCTGTTTCTAAGACAATTGCCTCCTGCATCGCCTATCCCCATGAAGTGGCCCGAACTCGTCTGAGGGAGGAGGGCAACAAGTACAACTCTTTCTGGCAGACTTTGCACACGGTTTGGAAGGAAGAGGGCAGAGCTGGACTCTATAGGTGGGTAAAGTTGATTAATAGAGGGGGATTTCTAATTAAACTTTGATTATAAAAATCGATTTAAGACAAGGGGATTCCGTGCTCAAAAGTGCATTTTAAGTGCCATAGAAATACAGTCTCTAGGGATATCCTTAACTAAATTGATTTGACATTTGACATACTTTTGTTAATCTCTAAAAGTAAACCCCAACCAAAGGGAATCCCACATGTCTAGTCTTCCTTTATATATTTTTTCCAAAATATATTTAGAACATATCTATAGACTTTATAAAAATAATCGAATTAATTTTAAATAAGAAACAAACATTTAACATGAATGCCAAATTTTTAACTTGCTTTATAGCTAATGAATTATGATAATGCGCCACCCACGAATTCGTGAAGTCTATTTAAATTACTTTTGCGTCGCATATTTTCTGTTTGTTTACCTTTAATTTGATTAGCACTTGCGAGCGTGCTCACCCGGGTTGTATTATATGATATGAGACTGGTATTTGTCGCGTAATTCGTCAACTAATTGTGCCATCTGTTTTTTTATTACTCATTTTTTATAGGGGACTGGCTACGCAGCTGGTGCGACAGATTCCCAACACCGCGATCATGATGGCTACCTATGAGGCAGTCGTCTATGTCCTTACCCGGCGTTTCAACAACAAATCTAACGAATTCTACGACTTTTAAACATCATAATACGGAGTCAAAGAATCCCCATTAAGGACTAGTTAACAAAAAATGAGAAGGAGGAACCCAATCTGTGCATATGTAGACGCGACTGCTGCAACTTAATTGTAATTGTAACCCGTTTTTTTAAACGATCCAAACCAACGAGCGCAAATTCTTAGTTAACTAGCTTCTAAGTCAGATATGAAACGAACTCGATAGACTTAAGACGTTAGACGTTGAACGTTGGCCAATAATGCAAACAACAAAAAACACGCACCAGGATCGAAATGCACCATCCAAAAAGAACATAACACTTTGCTATATGCTATATAAGGATCTAAGTTCGAAAAATACGAAAGAAAAAAACAAAAAAACGTTATCAAAATTTGAAAAGGCTGCTATTTAGTTAAAGATACAATATATATTGAGTGTATAAATGTGGTTGATATTTTGATATAGTGTTGTAAATAGGATTCGATTCGCTCAGAGTGTATTGTAAATAGATAAAGAATGAGTCGACTGGCGTTGCAATATGGCTCCCCTAGTTTTGTTAGTTGTAAGCACAAAAAAGAAAAATGTTGAATCGGCCGCAGTTGCCAGTAGATGCCGCTATATATATATATAGAAATATAAATATTAAAACCGACCGATCCGATACGTAAATGTAATCATAATTTGTAAAAGAGTCCGTTAAGTTTCCTCAAATGCGATATACATTTTAGTTACCAGTACTTTAACATTATGATTATTATTATTATTGCTGTTTATTTAGTCCATTAGTTAGCTAGTTAGTGAGCTCCATAGAGAGCGATTAGTGCCCAGTGCCCCCTCTCCCACGTATTTCATTGATAACGAGCAAAGAACGAAGAAAACTACTGTGAATAATTGATTGCAATCTGATTTGATGGTGAAATCAATAAATACAACAATTTTGTTTAAAAATAATCCAGTCGTTTATTGTTTAATATCAGCCGTCGGCTCTGCCGATCGCCTAGGTCTCTTACGCTAAACATTATCTTATCAACAAAGCCTGGAGACCCTTGAACATAGTTCAGTTTAGAAAAGCAGACTGCCGCCAATAAAAATCGTGATGAGATAAGCTGATTTCGCCATGATAATAAGTTTCTGCATAACTGAGAAGTGATTTACTTGTTTATGGATAGTTAAAGCTTCAAGCAGTCAAATGCTTTTATTTAAATTACCTTTTAATCTTACAAAAAGAGTCTTTAAGACTGACTAAAAAAAAAAACCAAAAAATAAGCGTTTTAAAAATAATTCTTTAATAAATGTTTTAATAATTTTAATACATTGGCTATAAATTTGCATAAACTATTTTTTTTTTATATAGATTTTAAATTAAAAATTATGGGGTTAATATATATATTTTGTAAAGATAAATGAAGTAAAAAATATGTTTATATTTCAACTCAAAATTATAACAATCTACAAGATTTAGAAAAAATAAAATTTGTTATATTTATAATTTTAATTTAGTTTTAAAATTTAAATATTTGTGGCTTAAGTCCGCGCTATGCCTAGCCTAGTCCATTACCACAACATTCGATCAAAGATCTTTACCATTTCATCAATCGTAATACCTCTAACGTCCACCTGTTACCATCTCTAACAACGCAATAAACTGCCACCTCTAGTAACGTAAGCAACTCGCATACGTTTCGTGCAACAAGTTTATTTTATTTTCATAAACAAAGTTTGTTCAATGTAAAAAATCCTCGTTAAGGTGATGTTATTCCATATAAATTGCGTTTCCCGGTGATTGTGAGTTAGTGAGCAGCTGCAGAGCAGCGTAATTAACCCAGATCTAAGTAAATCAGTGCAATTGGAGCAGCTTGAAAGGCAAACGCCAACATATCGAGTTCGAGAATTGAGTTGACCCATTCCGCGGCCATGCAAATCGATGCAATTGAGGCCTGAATATGCTGCTTAGTGAGACCCACTTTTGGACGACGCTGCGGGAGGAGGTGCGGATCAAGAGCCAGGATCTGGGTGCCTTTCGCTACCTTCGCCAAAGAGACAAGGATCAGGAGCAACAGGATGTTAGTTTCCTTGCCAAACGGGATTACACAGAACGTCGCAATGGATTGGCCGTCCTAAAGAACTCCAATCGCAAGTCTACTGGTCGATTAAAGGACAATCTCAAGAAACTGGAGGATCTACTGCGTCAGCACAGGATCATCCATTCCGAGTGGCAAGATGCTGCGCAGGTTCTTATCCTGTTCTCCCATGGGTTGATTGCCCATATATGTGTTGACATCTACACGGGAGACATCCTGCGCATGGTGTTCGAGAAGTATTTGGTTGGCAAACTTGCATCCGAGGTTATTACAGATGGTGAGTTTATACTACGTGCTGGATACACCATTTTCACCCTGGAAATCCCAAGTTATTCGCATCATTTCGTGTCTATTCTTCCTCGTAATAAAACAGCAATCCATCAATCACCCCAAGCATTACCTTTCTGCATGAAAATCCAAGCTAAAAACATCTCATCTTACAAAAAATTATTCAAAAATCGTTTTACACTGTAAATCTGTACGAACACGCAATATTTAATGTCCAATGTCTTGGCCGTAATTAAAGGCTCCACTCTCAGGCATCATTAGAACTAATTTGTCTTGTGTTTCTTTCAAAACCCATGTTTTTACTTTAATAATTCATTACTCATTGAAATATATAAATATAAATCCGGTTTTCAAATGAATTTCAAACTACAATTCATGTACGATCTAGAGCTAAAATAAGTAATCCTATGTATTACAGAAAGTTAAGCATTTTAAAAAGTATAGAGCCAAAACTAGATGAAACCTTTCAAAAGGTCTTTTGCAATATTGCTTCTGCGTGAAAGTCCATCAGCTTATAACCCCATCAATCTACCCCTATATAGGCTTTAGGGTATTTCCAATTCTATAGATTGGACTCCGGATCTTGGCCTTGCACTTCAGGCCGCTGCTTGTGCAGTTATGGAGAAATTTGCATTGGCAACAAGTGCGACTTGATTTGCACTTTCCCACACCAACACAGCCGCACGCACACATGCAGGGGCATGCAATTATTGTAATTTTTAATTAATCTGCTTGCTTGTTTTGTTGCCTGTAAATATGCGAACCCCGAACCCCGAACCCCGATCTCCCTCCCAATACGTCCCGTATCCCCCATCCTCTAGCTTTCCATGTTTTGTTCGAGGCACTCATTCAGCTTTGTCGCTTGTGTCTTTTTTTTCGTTGTGCTCTTGTCTCTGTTGTCTCGTCAGCTTTTTTCACCCGTTCCCACATCGTCTTGGCCTACAATACCAACCAACTGACGGTGGTTCATCTACAGAGGCCAAATGCCCGATCCCAGGGGCCCGAGAAGATCGCCAACATGGATCCGCGTATCTTCCACGTGATCATACCGGGCGCCACAGAACGAAAACTATCCCGCCACCTTACAGTCAATGGCAGCTACGATCTGTTTGTAGTTTGGACGCAGTCCTCGCAAAACGAAGTGTACCCCTGGAGGCCAACGATAAGGGATCAGGACCGAGCCAACATACATGTGTTCAAGATTAAGGGGTAAGTTTGATAAATCACTGTAGAAAACCCAATGTAACTCCTTATTTTAGTTTGCAGCTGGAATCGATAGCCTATTGCTGGTCGGAAAATGACCCTTTGTGCGTGGACTTTCTCCGAAGCAGCGAGAGCCAGATTATTACCTTGGAGCAGAAGGTTTCCCGCAAGGGTGATATAAGCGCAGAGATTTGCTCTTATGAGCTGGCTGCCGGCAAAATGCAGCGCACCGCTATTACCTCTATTCCAATGGGCGCCCAGATCTGCTCCTTTGCCTTTAGCCCCGATCAGGAGAAGCTTTTTCTGGGTAGTATCGATCGAAATATTTGTCTGCACGATCTGGTTCAGCAGTCCACTAAATACGCCAACCAGATTGAAATTGTCCCAAACCAGTGTGCCTGGCACTGCGATTCCGCTATGCTGTGCGTGGCCAATGAGCGATCTGTGCTGCAGTGCTTCGATCTGGCTTTGGCCACCATTGGTCATCAACTTGTCAGTGAGAGTGTGACTCCCTCGAGTTTATTGGATTTATCGCATTACTTTGTGGCTCAGCCAACGCTACTGAGTGTGGCCTTCAGCCGGAAGCCTGATTTAGCCACTTTTAAACATACCTACGCGCAGACGGACTGTTTATTGTTGCTCATTTATGATCAAGGACCTCTGGCGTGCATGCGCATTTTTGGCGGCACTGGAATGCGTGGCGATATCCACAACTCAGGCCTCACTGCGGATGTAATAGCGGACAAGTATCTGCGACTGCAGCAGCCCGATAGAGCGGTGAATGTTCTGGCTGCACTCAACTGGGAAACCTATGGAGCCATGTGCCTCATCACGTTGCATAAGATAGCCAACTATGTGTTTTTTGGCGGAGATCAGCGACGACCACGCATCGAGCTGATGGCCAGAGCTCTAAAGACATTCGCTAACACTCTGTCCGAGGAAACGAAGGATGAGTTTAGCGATCAGGTGTACGATCTGAAGCGACGCTTTTGTTTCTTTCTGCTTCGGTGAGTTTACTTTGATTCAGTATATAACTTTAATTCTAATTTGATGTCTTCAGTAAAAACCTATTCGCCGAGGCCTTTGAAATTGCTCAGGATGTGGCCGACTATGATATCTTCATGGATCTTTATAACCTAACCAAGTGCATATCTAGCCTGAGCGAATTCGCACAGGTGGCCTTCAGTCAGGCAGCTGCCATAATTCATGAGGAAGATCGTGCCAATGGCAATCTAAGCCTGACCTGCGATCTGCGATCGGAGTCAGCTTGCTCACTGTCCACCTGCTCAGATTTATTGCGGGGTCAGGGAGCGCCAACAGGACCTACCACAGGCTTAGGTCCTGGACCGACTCCAAGTCAACAGGTCCTAAAGAACTACGTGCCACCGCTGCCATCGTTTAAGTCGAAGGTTTTCAATGCAGAGATGATTAAAATTAATATTCCCAAGCCGGAATTAAGACCGCCACTACCAAAAGTTTCCATAGCACCACCAAACACATCTCTGGCAAGTCTATCCCTAAAGAGCAACAGTCTCCAGCAGTCGCCTTTAAAGAATTTAAATACAAATGGTTTGTAATTAAGAATAATTCTTAGAATATATATTTTAATTTTTCCAATTTTCAGGAAATGTGTGGTCGCAAGATGTGCCAGATCAGACGGTGGGTCTGCCCATGACCAGCAGTCCGCCTCCTCGTCTTCCGCCTCCAACAAATGTTGTGGATCAAAATACTCAGCTTGGTCAATTTAATACGATCACAGCATCGCCTCCATCAGCAACAGCCTACCAGCCCAAGTTTTTCCAGCATCCTCTTGTCTCAGGCAACATACCTGCAATGCTGTCTTCTGTGCCTAGCGACGATTACCAGAAGCGCCTGTTGCTCAAGAAACCCACTGCATCCATATTGTCCAATCCGGCAAATCCAGCTGCTACGAATGGAGAAGCAGCCACGCCGACTGCCAAGTCACAAACGGCCGAAAAGAACAAAGTCAAATTCTCCGATACAATACAAGTGGCTGTGGTTCCGGTAAGACCACTAATAAATTCATAATTTTAATCTTTTCTAATGCTTATTACCAATCAGGAGATTCCGCGCAAGGAAAAACCCGATGCCGCCTAAGAGAAATGGTTACTCCAGACCAGCTGCGCGACATTTAACCAATCCTAAGAAGGAACTGGCCGACAGCCTGCCACTTTGTCATCCTAACGATGAGTATCTAAAGGATTTTAATCCCATCACAACCAGTAGGTTTAATGTTAAGTTCTAGTGTTCATATAGACATTAATAATTCTTCATTGTAGATGTTACCAAACCACCAATTCGACGGAGAGAGGAGGAACCCAAGCAAAGCAGCAGCAAAGGCAACTCTTCCTCGTCATCTTCCATCAAAGTGGTTCACTTCGGTGTGGTCTAATAATTCATAGTGCAATTCCTAAGTTTATACCATTTTGGTTAAGAGCTGCGTCTTCCAATCGTTTGTAACTATTGCCGTCCCAGTTAGTGCAAAGCTTTAAATAGGAAAGTTTTTATTTATAGGTTCTCTCTACACTTTACACACAGGTTACTCATTAAAGCTTAGCATTAAATGTTTGCCAAATCTGAGGCTACGCCTACTTCTTCTTGGTATTAAGGGGTCCGCCCATGCGTTCAAGTTCGTCCTTAAGGTCAAGCAATTCCTTGTCGGGCACATAACGTCGCTCCTCGCAGTCGTCGGTGTGCTCCTGGACCATCAAGCTCACTCCTTCGGGCAAAGCGGCCTGCGCGAGGCGCAGAAACTGGGGATAAACCGGAGCATCTACGTTGTTCAGCTGCAGGTTTCTCTCATAGGTGGTCAGTTTGTATTCGGACTCTATGACCGTGGAGTTCGGTCGCAGTCTCTGTACTTGGGTCTGCTGTGGAGGAAGGGCATAGCAATCGGATACGTCCAGATCCAGGTAATCGGCCACTCCATGAAGAAACCTCTGGTAGCTTTCCAACTGCGGATAGTCATAGCCCTTGATCTGGACGTTCAGGCTTTCGTATTGTGGGAATTTCGGTTTAAGAGACTGTAAAGTAAGAGATGAAAAAATAATTAAAATAAGACGAAACAAACTAATAAATGTAAATCTATTAGCCTACATCGAGATAATCCGGCTCATAAACACTGCCGCTCGTGTTCCTTACAGCAACTGCCGTTGCCTTGGGCACTTGCAGCGTTAACCGCACACTCGGTAGTATCTAAAATCAGTATAAAAATGTTTTTTAATAGATAATTTAATAGATATTTAGGTTTATTTACCCTTCGTAACATTTCTGCGTTTCCAATTGCCAAAGTCAGGTTATATCACCAGCTGATGTGATACAGTCACATTGTTTGTCATATTTTCCCATTCGCAACACGGCCCCAGCATCAGCTGTTCGTAAAAGCCCGCCAAGCCGAAATGTATTTAAAAAGTAAAAAGGAATTATGTATTCAAAAAATATTATTCGTATTTTCCATAATAGTATAAAAAAAAAACATAACAAAAACCATATATAGTATATTTTTTATTTAGAACTAAAATGAGTTATAAAATATTTATATAAATATTTTTATTTAGGTATTTATCATTTAAGTTGAAATATATTTTAAATTTTGTTGTGATTATTGTTTAAATTTATAATATTTTAAAATTAGTTTAAATTATATGTACAAGACAAACAAAAAATAACATGTAGACCATCGGTTCATATCGATATCTTCGTTATTAAAAGCGGTTTTTGTGCAAACCTATTGGACACTATCGATACAATTTTTATCGTTCTCCGATATAAATAGAAAAGGAAATAATATTTGTATTTACTTAGTTTACACGTCGGAATCGTCGGTTTTTTTGCATCGGCAAAATGAAGGGAAAGGCAACACTTTTGGTAGTTGCGTTGGCTCTGCTTTTTGGGCCGTCAAATACGATCGGAAAATCGGATCCGGGTATCGTTGACATCCTGGTGACCACGGTAAATATGTGTACCCCAACTCCAACCAAATATAGGGATAATTCCATTTCCGGCTACGTAATCACTGTTTTGGATCCTTTTAGACCTTTCCTAGCATACGGGAGCAGCGTCCACTTTTGGCCAATACGAAAATATACGCCCAAAGTGAGTACATGCGGCAAAAACGTGTGACGAATGTCTCTGAATAACCACTTTTCATTCCGCACCCGCTTTAATGGTTCTAGTCAAGGGATGTACGCCCAATGGGGAAACAAACCTCACCGTTACCTTCCGACTTACGGAGCATCCATGCATCTTCGACGATCTCCAGCTGCAAACCATTGCCCATGATAGCGCCCTGCTAAACAATGCCAGCATTAATAATAAAATCTTCGAGCTCACCAACACATATCCGTGCAATGGACTAATTGTCCTGGCGATAAACAAGGACAAGCCGGCGGAGGGAGCAACACCCGGAACACCGGAACCTAAACATCCGATGTTGGAGCACAAACATCCACTTTCGGTAAATCACACATATGTACATATATAAATCAGTCAAAAGTTGGAGACAACTATTAACAAGGGACAAGCCAAAACATTTGTGGTGTGTGACTTATCAGTCAGGGCTTATCATTTCTTTAGAACTGGGCACTTAATGAAGAACGGGAAGGGCATATTGCTTATTGCTTGAAACGTTTACGTTCATTTAAAATCTGTTTCCTTAGACTAAACTTTGGGGTGCCTTTTCTTTTTTAAAGACAGAAAATAACTTCTTGGATATACCCAAAATATAAAAATGTATTATTTTATCTGCGAATGTGTGTAGAAAATAAGTAATGCTCGGTATCCGACGGTCGACTAATGTTTTTTCGATAGGCCTAATGTAGTTTTTTTATCCAGTAAAGCCGAAGTACTGATAAAACATTGGTCATGCAGTAATTAAAAGACTACCGTTTCCTTTCAGCCCACAACCAAACCCGGTTGCTAGCGTCGACAAGGATGGCATATATGAGATTGAAGTGATTATAGCTCCACAATCCCCGCAATTTAGTGCCGTCGTGCACATCGAGTTCCTGGGCCCACATGGATATATTTCGGCCATAGATTGGCCATTCCTGCCGGTATGGGATGAGTAATTTAAACATAGCATTGTTTATATTTTTTGTTTATTTTTCCCTAGTTCTATTTAATCATGTGCATTGTTTACGTGATATTTGGAATTATTTGGCTCTTCGTTTCCTTCGCCCAATGGCGAGATTTACTGAGAATTCAATTCTGGATTGGTGGAGTCATTCTGTTGGGAATGCTGGAGAAGGCATTCTTCTATGCTGAATACCAAACGCTGACGAATAAGGGAGTTCCAGTTCAGCATGCCGAGCTGGTCGCCGAGTTTGTGTCCTGTGCAAAGCGCACTCTGGCCCGCATGCTGGTCATAATTATGAGCCTGGGCTTTGGAATTGTCAAGTAAGTGAAAATATACGTGTACTTAGAAAAGCAACTGCACCGCGATATACATACTAATTGAAACCCGTTTTTAATCAATTAATTCAAGAGCAATTGCTGGTAATTAACTACCTACTAGGGCATACAATGTAATCTTACTAAAACAGAACTAGCAAACAAATTACTCTATTAAGAACCTTTCTATAAGTAGAGAAACCCCAGAATTTCTATAGTACACGTTTAATATAATTTGCTTAATCTCTTTGAATTTTTGTAGACCCCGTTTGGGACCCATGCTACATCGCGTTGTGGGCGTGGGAACACTCTACTTTGTGCTGGCCTGCGTAGAGAGCTATTTGCGTATCACCAATATCAAGACCGATCGCAGCGAGCTGCTGGTAGCCAGTATTCCCCTTGCGGTTCTAGATACGGGAATATGCTGGTGGATTTTTACCTCACTCGTACAAACCACTCGAACACTGAGGCTAAGGAGGTGACTCATCTGAAAATTAAAACAAAAAACTTTTAGTCTAACCAAAATCTACATATTTCAGGAACATGGTCAAGCTTTCGCTGTACAGACACTTTACTAACACTCTGATTTTCGCTGTTATCGCTTCCGTCATCTTCATGTTGTTTGCCCTGCATTTGCGTAGTATTGAGAATTGTACGCCTGTAAGTTGATTAGCATGAGTTGGGCTCCGAGCAGAGTTGAGCTGATTTGAAATGTTTTTTCACGCTTCATTTAGGGTTGGCGTGATATTTGGGTAGATACTGGTTTTTGGCATATTCTATTTTCGGTGCTGCTACTGGTGATTATGATACTATGGCGACCCACTAATAACAACCAGCGATATGCCTTCACTCCGCTGCTGGATAACCCAGAAGACGAGGACGATGAGGGTAAGTACACCCATTAAAGTTGGCATGCAATCAGAAACTTATTGGATTTCGTTTTATTCTCCAGACGAGGAAGATCAGTTTGTGGCTGATGCCTATGGTGTAAAAATGCGTGGACAGAATGGAACGCCGAAAACATCGACGGCTTCACGAAATGCCACGACCACCGAGGAGGACGATTTGCGCTGGGTAGAAGAGAATATACCATCCTCGATGGCAGACTCAGCTCTGCCTATTCTTGATTCGGATGAGGAGATCATAAACACCAAGTTTGAGGTGTCAAAAATGCAATAAACTGTGACTTTCGCTGGACCGAAGAGACTTTTTACGCATATTTTTGCACATTCACACATCTGTGTCACCCGCCAGCAGCAAGTCCCCAATATTTGCTTTGTATTTTTTTTTTAAGTTTCATTCACCTTTGAGGAAGATAAACCTTTATGCTGGACAACAATGCCGTGCTGCACCGACACTGATCTTCCAATTTCGAGAAATTGTTTAGCCAGTCACGCCTTCTTCTGAACCCGTGTAAAATAATGTATGTAATCGTAGTTCCTTCTACGCGCACGTCCTCCCCTCTAAATAAATCTAACTTATTCGTAATACCTAGCCTAAGTTGTAGATAACTATGCGACGAACAGTAAACTTAATTTATAAACTACGATTTCAATTCTAACGTTGAATCTTTTAGTACACTCGCTAATGTGTATGAATTATAATTGTTGTCGCCTCATTGTATATAGCTGGTAACACAAAACAAAAACAAAAAAAAACGAAACGATCTATATAAATCTATGAGTATTCTTTAATAACTACGATAAAAAGCAAGTGTGCAGTGTCGAAAAAAAAACCTATTTAAAAATCTAAAACTATTTGCTGATAACTAAAAAGGATTCAAATGTAATTGTCTAAGTAAGCCCACAATCACTTGCGTCACATAAACCTCAACGTATTTAATTACATAAATTTAATCAAACGGTTTAAGATTTTCATAAATAAATGCAATCGTATCTTAAAGGTAGCCATGAACCAAAATGCTCAATGTGTTTTCTTTCAACTCCTTATCTAACTAAAGGCTTATGTTATTTGTCAAGCCCGATAGCACAAGTTGGTCACGATAAAAATAATAAAAAAAAACATGTTATTTCAACTTCGATTCTTTGGTATATAGGCTTTATATATTTAATCTTTTGGCGATAATAGTTTCCTTTTACTTTAAAGGAATGTTAAAAGCATTTCCCTCTTCCACTTCAAAAAAACGCAGTAAATATAATTCAATATTTATTAGTTTTCTCTTTGTATAAAATTTCTCTTTGCCTTCCAAATTTCTTGTTAAAAAAATATTAAGTAAAGAAGAAAAGGTAATGTGCATTTCCTCAGATAATACAATCACAAAGCGATTTCAGTTAATATTTTTGCTTCGAGCTCTCCTTAATGGTTAGAGTACACACAAACACAAAAGTCACAATTAATAAACAAATTATTTATTCGCGGAAGGATTAAGAACGAAACGCAAATGCCTCGACTTCGGTGCAAATATGCATTATTATTACAAATAAGATACAAATACTTATGGATACTGTCTTGAGGGCGGCGAAGTTGGCATTTTTGGCTGAACTGTGGATGAAGCGCGACTCTCTAAATTGCAACAATATTGGGAGGACAGTTGAAAAACGGGCGGGCAAATTTACATTAATATGTTTCTCGTGGTTTAACAATTTTCTCATGTAACAAATTTACTGCCTAGAAATGCGTATTTAATATTTTTAGTCTGCTTTGAGTCCAGTCTTCGTAAAGTCCTATGAACTGTCATATGAACAGTAAGTAATTGGGAATTGGGTGGATGCAGCCTAAATATTATGAAAATGAATTCATTTGAATAAACTTTTAAGGGCCAACAGTGCCTTTCAATTCGCATATTATTACTATTTTTAGATAGAACAGTATTATCTTAGAGACCCCCCGTAGACTGGCTTGGTTTATGTGGAAATTCAGCCTTTAGCCGCTCAGTGCTCAGTTCGATTCGGGCTTGACATTGCGTCGCAGGATAGCTGCTGCGAGGTCCTGTTTCATGGCCGCCTGCTGGCGCTGATCGGCCAGCGATTGTGTGCTTCTTAATCCGTTCACAATATCCTTGGTCTTGCCAAAGTAGATCTCATTCAGGGTGTTCCTGATTTTGTTCTCCATCTCCTCAACCATTTTGCCAATGTTGGCGATGTGCGGCGAGGACTCACTGACATTGGCATCCTGTTCTTGCTGGCGGGTGAGGGAACCACCCAGGTTCATGGTGCCTGAACCTTGTTTGTTGGTCTGCAGCCACAACATTGCTGTGGACGTCAGCTTATAGTGAGCTGTCCTTCCTGTGGTTTTCTCTTGAACTTCAACCACATGAATAGAGTCCCAACATCCGCGAATCATCTTGCTGCCATCTCCGGCCTTTTTGATTAGTATGACAGCGGCAAAACCATGATCCAGATCCCATAGATACACGGAGGAAACTCCTCCTTCGTAGTACATTTCCCGGTACTGATCGAAAGCATAGTTGGCCTCAATCTCCAGTTTTCGCAGTCGTTCCGAGGGCATTTGGCCATCCTCCAATGGTGGATAGTAAGAGTTCGACCAGGGCGATCTATAGGAATCACCATCGCGGTTATAATCACACAACAGGTAATCCTTGCCATGTTCTTTGTCCTTGGCTATTTTCAAAGGCTGATCCACGGACGAGAGCAAATCCTCACATAGATCAGGGGCCAAGTCTATCAGATCAATGAGGTTCTTCTCAATTTGCTGGGGCGGAAGCCTCCTCATCAGATCCAAAGCACAATCCATTTGCATTTCCGACTAAAAGAAGAGAGATATGTGTTTGAAATTGAGTCACTGCAGCGATAAGAGAGCCACCGAAAATTCCTGCTTTTCTATTGCCACCCGGCAAAAAGGGGATTACCATATATGGGCATCATTTAAGGCCGAAGGCCGCCGCCCTTACTAAAGGTTTTCCTTTGTCTTTAGCGATTTGGTAAACTTTTCTTTAATAATGGGCGGCACCGCTACAAAAACACCGTTTGTTGGCCTCTTTTTTTTCATCTTTTTTGTTACCATCAACTGTAGTATTACTCACCATTTTGATACTTTTTGCTTTCCCTTTGTTTCGATGGGATTTAAACTAGTTTTACTTTTTCGTTGGGTAGGCCAATCTTAACTCTAGCTGGGATTTTGGGATTTTATTGCAAGTAATTGCACTAAATTGACTCTTTTCTTTATTATTAGGATTTTTATTTTCCCTGGTGTGTTAGAGCTGGAACAAAAGTCGGAGTTTATTCGATGTGTGTAGTAACGAATATATATCGATATTTATTAGAAGATTTGAAAGCATTGATGTTTGCCATAAAAGTATCGATATTTTTTATTTTGAAAATTAATAATAACTGTCAAATATTCAAATTATATATATTAAATATTTATTAAACAAATAAGAGACTAAAAATATTAGAAAATTGATAAATGACTAAATTTTTAGATCAAATTCATACCAACTTGTCGTTAAGTTAAAAAAACCTATAACTGTTGCTTAAAGTTTCACCATAATTCCCAAGTTTCTCCCAAATGATAACCATAATATTACTTTGTTTTTATTATATTTTAGCAACAAGTTTATTGAATTTAGTTTCGTTCATATACTTTTTATGCTTAATTCCATTCTGGTTGCCCATTTCCTTTCCGTGTTTTGTGAGTTTCTGTTACAATGCGTTTGGTTTTTCTGTGACTGTTGTTGTTTTTAGCTTACTCATAGTTGGTTTTTTTTAATATGTTACACAAAAATGTATGGCATAATCGTAAATTTTTTATCCGAGTTCATGTTTAAAATATATTTTAAGCTGCTCCTCTTGCGTATTCTTCAGATATACATACATACATATTTAGAAATCATATGCCTGCTCCGAAAATGTAGTATACTCCCATTCTTCTTGATTTTTTTGTTCTTTTGTTTTTTTTTTTACATTATTTTAGCCAAATACATAGCGTGTGGGTTTTTTGCTTCGTTAGTAAGTAGTCTCAATAAACTTAATTAATCGTTTTCGGTTTTAGATTCCCGCTTCAAATACGTTTTGTTTTTAGATGTATACTTCGACCATATACAGTAAATGTAAAATCTCAGACTTTAATTTTTAACTAAGGTGCACTACATACAGAAATCGTTCCGAAAAATGTGAACTAAATCGAGGGCTTTCTTTTTATATTAGCAGCTTAAGTTTTTCAATTTTTATATTTTAGCCTGGGTAAACTGTTACAGGTGTTTTGTAAAATAAGGGCAGGTTTCACTAAACTCGAATAACTTAGATAATTAGAATTTGTATTTCTTAGTTGTTCTTTTGAAGTTTAATATTTCGGCTAATTAAATATTTATTTACTTATGCTCTGACGCATTCTTAGACATTGTGCCATTATTCGAACTTAAAAGCGGTTTCAGATAATAATAATAATAATCATAATAATACATAACTCCATTTTTAATCGTATTTCGTATTTCTCTTTGTTTTTTGTTTTTGTTTTTGTTTTTCTTTTCTTTCGCTCAATAATTATGCAACATTCGCTTATCAACGCTTCGACAAACAAATGTAATCACAGTTTTATGTTTTCCTTCTTTATATAAACTCATTTTCATTTAGCTATTTATTTCACTATTTTCGCATCTAGCGTTGAGTATGTATGTATGTATGTATGTATGTATGTGTGTGAGTGTGTTTTAGCTGTGAGTGTGTTTGTTGTAGTAAGTTCTTGTAGTTTTCTTGATTTTAGTGTGGGTGGCAAAAAGAAAATATCAAAGGAGTGTTAAGTACATGCTTAAAAACTCACCTAACCTTTCTTTCAATCGCTCAATCTCTCAATCATCGATCTCAATCTCATTCCATGCTTTTATGAACATCTCAACTCACTGATCTTTTTTCTTTCATTTTTTTTATTTGTTTAGATTATTAATACTATTACGTATTTAGAAAACTTTAAGAATATTGCACAACTTGTGAAAATGCTGATCTTGACTCTGCCCTTCTTCTCATTTCGTTATAAGTTTTTAAAAATATTTCATTTAATATTTAATACCTGAGTTGTTCATAATCGTTTCGCATGATTATAACATCCGTTTTTATCGGTTGCTTTTCTTTTTCATCGTTATTATTATTTTAATCGTAATACATATCGAAAAAAGTTGTTTTGTTTTTTGGTTTTTGGTTTTGTATTAAATGCATGTATACATCGTCGTGAGTCTTGATAATGCCCTGAGTTTGCTCCAAACGGATTTGCGTTTTTTTAAAACTATTTCTTAATTCTTTTTTGTTTTTGTTTTAACCTTATTCTCGTAAAGTACTTTTCATATCGAACTTCTTTCTCAAATGGACCGTTGTCTTGTTTTGTTGAATTTAAAGGGGGGTTAAAATTTCGCTCGATTAATTCGAAAACTTTTCAGTTCAGAACAAAGTAAATCGAAAGGTTTTTGAATGTGGTTGGGGTTAAAGGTCATGTGTAACTCAAGTTCTGTTGCATTTTCTGATTTTAATAGAAATAAATTAAAATTTAGAGAAAACAAAGAGGTTGAGAAAAACTGAAATTGCAGTTCTAAAAGTCACACCAACTGTCCTCTTTATTTTTTCAGACCGACAGCTATTCTTAAAATTTTAACTTTATATTTTATGCCGAAAAATTTGTACGATTTTCTTCTTCATCGATACCACCACACACGCGTCTCTCTATATATATTTAATTAATTTTAATTTATCTGCTAAATTTTGTTTGTTTTTACCTGAAATTTTGTACTCGTCATTGTTCCAAAAGTTTTTTGTAGTTTTTCTTTTTTTTTTCAAGTGTGACTCTATACACAATAAGAACTAAATTTTAAATATTTGAAATAAAAACTAAAAAAAAGAAAAAATAAAAAAAATAAAACAATTTAAATACACACATTAAATATAATTTGTACTTGCTTCGATTTATCGTGATAGACAAATTTACAACAACTTGATTTACACATTGAGACAGGGTAGACGTAGGGTATGCTCTATATATGCTGGATATATATATATAGCCATATCGCACATAAAACTAATTTTCATTAAGCTTTTTGTTTTTCAACTTCATTTTCAAATTTCGCATTGAACTGAACTGCAAAGTTGCTTAGGCCTAAACACATTTAATTTTCTTTCTTTTAAATTACTTTTCGATAGTCGTAAACTTTAGTATACATATTTTCGTTACATTTATAAATAATTATTTTTAGAGGGATCGGTAGTAAGGGGTTAAGGTATACGGGGGCATAATCAATCGATTCCAAAAACGTTGTCTCAGTACTGTAGGGGGATAAGAATTTTTTGTTTTGTGTTTAAATTTTTTTGTTTAACCAATAAAAATTGCCAATTATAAGATGTTTTGTGTTGTTTTTTTTTCTGGGGTTTAACATTTATTTAGTTGCATTTTGTTTTTAGCATTTACGTGTTTATAGGTATTATAAATTTAGAATTTTATCAAATAATTGTTACAAATTAGAAAAAAGGTGTAAAACAAGCCAATTTGTTGCGATCGAAATTATACAAAAAAATATATATAGATATATATTACATTTTCTTTGCCACTTAAACTTAAACTGGGTTTCGGTGCATGCAGTTTTTTGCTTTTCTTCTTCCTTTTCTTCTTCTCTTCTTTATTATTTTATAGTTATTTGAAATAACTTAGGTAAAATGTAAGCATAATAGTGTTTTAGATTTTTTTTTTGGGGGGAAATTTGTTCTGTCAAAGGAAACTAAAGGAAAAGTGAAAGGTAATCGTAAGTACAATTGGCTTGTTGAGGTTTTGGGAGGTTTTTCTTTTCGTGTTATTTTGCATCTTGACATTTCGCACTAAATATATATATTAATAGAAAAACAATTACTAACAAAAATATATAACAAAAATTACATCGAGTTCTTACAAAATGTTCGGTGCACTAAATTTCACATTAAATTGAACTTAAATTGTTGTTTTGTACGTGTGCACACACTATTATTATTATTTATATATATATATATATATATATATATATATATTGTTTACATTTTTTTTATTTTGTATTCTTGTTACAGTTTCAATTTTGTTTCATTTTTTATGTAGTTTTCTTATTAATTAATTTATACAACTCAAGGGTAAAAGGTAACTAAAGATTACTGAAAAATTACGAATATACAATACACAATTTGAATCTTGATTAATTTATTTTCTATGTACAATAATTGTTTCGGTTTCGTGACACGTTCTTGCCTTGTTTCACTGTACTGTACGCTCTAAATGCAAAATGGCGACATTTGTGTGTTTTTTTCTTCTTTTATTTATTCTTTACTTTTAGATTAAGTTAATTACGCTTTCTGGGTTCGTTTTTTAGTTTGCAAACATTTTTTACAAAGAAATTATTTTACGCCGCTTGTCGAAAAGTTGGGCCTAAAATCTGATTACAGATAAAAGTACTTTTGTTTTTCTTTTTATTTTTATTTTTTGTTTAAATAAATAGTTATGTTTAAATGTGTTTGCACGTACATAGAGTTCTGCTTGTGCCTAATATTTGTTATAAATTTTTAATTTGTTTTTTTTTCTTTTTTAGCCAAAAGTTTAAGCCTAAATTGTTTGTTTGTAAAGTTCGCTTATTTACGCAAGTTTCTTTTAGAAAATGTTTCTCCATTTCATTTCATTTACTTGTCAAAATTTTTATAACCTTTTTTCGGGTTTGCTTTTTGAATTTAATTAATTTTAAATTTGTTTTTTTTTTGTTTGCCATTCTGGGACTTGGCGGCTCAAGCAAAAGTATACCATTTACTGGGTTCAATTTTTTGTTAATTTTTTTTTGTGAATTTTTCATTCGCTTTTTGGGGGATGGGTAAATTTTGTAGCCTTAAATAATTTCTTTGTATTTTTGTTTTTTGTTTTTTTTGTTTTCGATTATAGTTTATAAAGATTTTAGTTATTATGTTGGTTTTCTTTGCCTCATTTTGTTGCTTTGCCGAAATTGATGTATACAAATGATCTTAATCCTGGTTTATATATCGCCTTTGCTCTCTCTACACATACCTAATAAAAGTTTTGGATATTCTTTTCGTATAATTAGAGTTTTAGCCAAAAGTATAAACGCGTAATTTTACATTAAATGTTATTTTTGTTTTTTGTAATCTGAATTTTCGTGGGCTCGGTGTGTGTTTTTAGCGCATATTTACATGAAAAACTTCTGTGTAAAGAAAATGTTTTTTTTTAAAGGGGATTTTTGTTTTCAAAATACCAAAAGGTTGTTCCAGAGTGTGTGTATGTGTGTGTGCTTGTGGTGTCACCATTTTACAAAAAGAAGAAAATGAAGTGGAAAATGGAAAAGTATATATATGTTATATGTTATATCATGCTCATCTCGTTACTGCGCAGTCTATGGCTAATTTGAGGTAGTTCAGTTTACTATTGCAGTTCGATTTGTTATTTATTATTGCTATTGTGTGTGTGTTTGTGTGTGATTGTGTCTTTTGCATTTAAAATTAGTCCTCATTAAACATAATTACTAGCCACTAACTAACTAACCGATAATCGAACTAAGAACTAAAGCTTTCCTTGATAGCATCTTCGATTACAACAAAAAACATTTCTCATTTGTGTTTCTCTTCTCTCTCGCTTCCATTTTGTTTGTTTGTTTATCTGTTTGTTTGTTTGTTTGTTTATCTGTTTGTCCCATGCAAAACAAAACATTATTAATTGAAATAATAATTAATAATAAAAAACAAGTTTTAAAGGTTCTTCCCTGAGGTATATGAGTTCCTGAGTTTGATTAGACTCTAAAAAATTTGTAAAACGAATACCGAAGCTAAGAACTAAGGTAACATAAACTTAAATTAACTTAAGATATATCAATTAAAATATGGTTAATTAGAATAACTAACCCCTGATTACTAACATATATATAGGTAGTATATATAGTTTGAAAAACAAGTTTTTAATTATAAAAAAAACAAAAGAGGTAGGTTCTTTCCTGAGGTATATGAGTTCCTGAGTTTGATTAAAACGAATACCGAAACTAAGAACTAAGTTAACATAAACTAAAAGTAACTGGCTATGGTTAATAACCCCTGATTACTAAATATATATATTATATTAGATTGTGTTTGATTGATTCACTGACTGACGGATTGAATTACTGACATGTATGATGGCTTGTCCACCTGGGCCTCAAGTCTCTGGCTTTCGTATGATCCTTCCCCCCCATCAACGTACTTAAAAATAAAATGTAATTCAGACTCCAGCGAACGTTGATGGGTGGGTCGGTTTACGAAAAGCCAAAGGTACTGTGGCTAACCAGAGGTTAATCTGCATGGATGTGAAGAGGTAGTTTGGTTTAAATATTGCCAGACTTTAATGGTTTTCAAATATTGCTATTGCTGTTGCTATTTTTCCTACTCAACACGAATGGTAAATAAAATTCGAGTTGTCGATTTTCCCTTTTCTTGCTTTTCTTTCTGATTGAAATAAAAATTATTTATAAAACGAAAAACTAAATGAAAATTAAACGCTGTATTCGTTTGCAACTTCAAAACGATATCACAGAACAAACTGGGGGGGTTTCTGGGGGGTGTGGTGTTGTGTGTTACTTTTATGTTTAAAAAACCTAACTCGGCTTTCGTGTGTGTGTGTGTGTTGTTGTTGTTGTTGTTGTTGTTGTTGTTGTGTGTTTTAACAGTTAATAAAAGTAGTTTTATATATTCAACATTTTGGCTATTACGGTACTATTGGTTTTTGTGGTTGACCCTTTGCTATCATTCTATTGCCTTGCATAACGGAAAAAACATAGAACATAGAAAACATGAAAATTCAGTTGGGTTCTTCATTCTCTCTGCTGGCGAGCCTAATCGTGTTCCTACATATGCGCTTAGTTAGTTTATGTTTACAGTTTATATAATAATATAGATCTAGGTTTTATCATTACACAACTGAGGCCACATATATATATATATAGATATATATGCTATATGTGGTAATAATAAATGTATTTACAAAACCAAGACTCTTTTTGCCTTGGCTGGTTTTCTCAATATTTTTCAATTGCATTTTCCTTAGATTTCCATTCTAGTTTTCTTCGCTTTCGCTTACAACAAAATTGTTTCTCATTTTCTTTTTAGTATTTTACAGCTGGATTTTGTTTTTTGTTTGGGGGAAATTTCTAGATTTCCCTTGATGTAGTTATCGAAATTATAAGAGCCGAAAAAATGAATTTTGAATTTTTTGTTGGTTGGATTTTTTTTTGGGTTTGAAATTTCTTTTGTACGAAAAATGTTTTCCAAAGGTGTGCCAAAAGTTTTTTTTTGATTTTGAATTTCGGTTTGCTGTAATTATTGTTGTTGTTGTTGTTGTTGTTGTTGTTTCATTTGTTGTTGCCTTCAAGTTTTTGAGAACGTTTTTGAGTGGTTTTTGCTTAATATTTTCGCTTGTTAATTAACATGTTTCACACTTGGCTAGAATTATTATTCAATTAAAAAATAATTATATTTACTTTACGTTTCTTATTTTTTTCTTTGCTATTTTTGCTTTTCTCATACATCATCATCATCATACTCATCGTTAAATATATTTTCTTTGTTTATAAAAATTTTACTAGTAGTCATTTAATTATATATTTCTTATAGGCACCCAATTTACCAATTGTTTTCTCATCTTTACTTCTTTAGAAACTTCTGAATTCGGAATTGAATTTGAATTTGTATCTTTTTCAGTTTGTATTTTTTTGTTTTTTTGGAGCCGAAAAGCAGTTTGTTTGAAATTTTGAGGCCTAAACTTGAAAGAAAAAAATCAAAAAACGGAAAAACAATACGAAAAATCACGAAAAAAAATTTGTTACTCGTTTAAAAAGCAAATCCTTCTCTGTCAGCAAGCTCAGGACCTTGACGGCAAGCCTTAGTTCTGCCTGGAAAAGAAAGCCTCGTGGACTCAACACAACTTTACAAGCCCCCAAAATTTTGCCTTTTCGTATTATTAATTTAATAAAATTATTTACAAAAACCTGGACAAAAGGGGGCTGTAGTGGCTGGTAGAGTTTTCCAGGGCATTTTCCTTTTCGTCAAGAGTCCTGGCTTCTACCTAGGTTTCATCAGCGTTTCACTTCTAATCTGTATTTTGTTTTTTTTTTTTTTATGTTTATACTATTTTATTATTGCAGGTACTTGTGGTTGCGGTTTTGTTGTTGCTATTGTTGCTTTGTAGTTTGTTTGTTGCAGCTATTTAGTTGTTGTTTTTGTTTTAATCTTAGTTTTTCTCTTCACATTCTAGTTTTAAATTCAGTTTTTAATATTTCTTTAGCTTTATCGTTTCGTTTGATTTGTTGAGGCAACTTGCAGTTTTTGTCTATGATGTTTCTATAGGAAATCAAAAATATATCTCCTCAACTCCCCTTCCTCCTTCTTCCTCCTACTCCTCCTCCTTCTTCTCCTCTTTAAACACACACGAATTAAACAAATTGTCAACGTTATATATGTGTTTTTTTTGCTACACTTTTTTTGCGGGGCGGTACCAATCAAAAACGTTCAAACTTTTTGCATTTTACTATTTCGTTTTTAGTTTTAAGTTTTAATTTTAGTTTTTGTATTTGATTTATAGCACCCTGAAAACGATTTTTCAGCCGGATTGCATATTTATTTCTATGTTTGATAACTGCCATTTGGATTTGTTTGTTTGTTTGTTTGTTGCTTTTGTTTGTTTGTTTCGAAGTCTGTGGCATTAGCTTTGTGGATTTTTATGTAACTGACTTTAAACGCAAATTTGTAATAAAAATTTCTGCAAAAAGTTGGGGCAAACAAATTTCTTGCCTTTCCATGTTCGTGTGTGTTCGTCTGTCTCTGTCCTCATCATGTTGGTTAATGTTTTGTTTTGATGTTTGTTGTGTTGTAAATCTTATTAGTAATTCTTTGTTTTCTTTTTTTTTTTGTTTGTTTGTTATTATAGTAATCAATGTTTTGCCTAGTTGTTAGGACTTTTGTTTTGGTTGGTGGTCTCCGAGGGCAACAGCAGTTGCATCAGTAGTCATTTTTCATCTTCTCTCTTTGCGCGCGTAAATCATTTTCCTTTTTCGTAAATCACTCAATTTTCTTCAACTCTTCTTCTATCATCATCATCATCGATTCTTAGTCTAAATCTAAGCAGCTTCTTTGGGGGGCATCCGATGGGGGCCTTTCGTTTCTCCTCATCCTATTGCTCCACATTGACCTTGGGCGTTGAGGTCAAAGTGGGCGTATCATTGGGCGGTATTATATGTGGGGGGCTGGTGGGCGTATTGGGCATATGATCATAAATGGCTTCAGCTTGGATATCCGGTTCAGCTTCGGACATATGCAGACGATCGTCCTCATCTTCCGATTCCGATAACACCTCAATCTTGGGCTCTACCACAACGAGCTCAGATCCTGGCTGTGGTTCTGGCGGTTGATCTTCATCCACTTCCATGGGACGATCACTGCCATCACTGGCCTCGGCATCACTACAACCATCACTGGTCGTTCCAGTGGTATTTGTGGTTGTTGTGGTTGTAGTGTTCGCCGTGGTGTTCATGGTCGAGTCCATGGCTTCGGCCGCCTGTTCCGCTGCCATTGCCAAGCGGATTTGTTGCGTCACCTCACGGTGCATCCGCTGCTGTTGCTGTTCATAGGTGAGCGGTTCAGTGCCGCCCTCTGAACCAACTCCTTCTTCTGATCCTGCCCCATCAATTACTGCCTCTACCGATTCGCCCCCATCTATACAACCTGCCCCAGTGGTCGTTGTTGTGGTGGTTGTGGTCTCCGCGACCATTGCATCCCGTCGCTGCATGCACTTCTCCAGTGCCATTTTGAGTGATTTACGTTTACGCTGCTTTGCCGCCTCCTTGTGGGCGTTCATGACTACTGATGCCGCTGCTGTTGCGGCTGCTTCCTATGGTGAATGATTGCTGGCCGCTGCTGTTGCCGCCGCTGCTGCCGATGCTGCTGCTGCCAAATGTGCCGGTGCAATGGTTGCCCCCGCTGCCAAACCAATTTCCTGTTTATGTTCCCTGGCAATGTGTCGTCGTACCGTATTGTTTCGCGTGAAAGTCCTCTCACAGAATGGACATGGCACTCGGATACCCTGATGACGCTGTCGTATATGGGCCCTTAGATTCGTCTCATAGCCATATAAACGATCGCAGTACAGACACTTCAACTTCTTGCCATCGGCGGTATTCACACTGTTCTTGTTGTTCATTTTCGTGGCATTCCATACGTTCAACATGTCCGCCGGTGCTATCGATGCAGCCAAATTACTGGACAGCGTTCCATCGGCTTTTAAGTTCTCCAGCAGGGCATTCGGTGTGGTCGACGAGGTGTTCGAGTTTGGCGGCGGTGGCGGTGAGTACTTCAAGTTCTCCAGCTTAACACGCAGATCCTCGGCACCATTCTGTTGGTATTTTTCCATCAAAAATATTTAGTTTTTGCCTTTAACTAAGTAAGTTTTAAACTACTTACATCTGTTGACTCATCCATTAGCTCGCGGTCGTCATCGTTAGCCTCATTTGCACTGCCATTGTTACGCTCCGATTTCACTATGCGATCCAGGCCGGTGGTAGTGTTTCCATTACCGGCTGTGGTGCTGGGACTGTGGTTTTCGTAACGACTAAATAGGAATCAAAAAGATAGTTTAAGTAAAAATCTTCCAGGCTATGTCAATCTCCTTCTAAACTCACCTGGACTGTGGCGATGCCCGTTCCGAATGCATGGTATCCGCTTCTGTTGGCGCCGTTGAGAGAGGCACTGGACGAGGGTCGATGGTATGGTGGCTTATTGATGGGGCTGGGACATTCGGAGGACTTGGAGCCATCTCGCAACACAGAACCGCGTTGCTCCTGCTCGGAATACGGACTACGGACAATGGCTCTCTTGCGCGGAGGTTCGTAGTTAATGGGTCGGTAGATGGGCGGTACATGGGTATAGCCCATTCCCGAAGAGGAACCGCTACCACCCGGATGCATCAGAGAGTCGCACTCTTGTTTCAAGATGCCAGTGGAACCACCCAAATGATGAGCAGCGCCAGCGCCGCTTCCCAAGCTGATGGGTCCATTGTTGCCGGCACCACCATTACCACCAACACCATTGCCGCCAATTCCCACAACTCCACCGCCATTACCCGCTCCACCACTATTATGGGAGCCACCAATGCCAGCCGCTGTTCCACCGATGATATTTCCACCGGCACTGCCGCATCTGTCTACAACATTTGCACTGGCTGCCAGGGTACTTAGACCACTGGCCGCCGCACTGGCAGCCGCTGCCATTCCTCCGGCAGCTGCCATACCGGCCAAACTCAATCCGTTGCCAATGCCCATGCCCGGTATTGAGTTTGCTCCCGTAACGCCACCACCCAGACCGCTTCCGATACCACCGGGAACGATACTGTTGTTACCACCGCTCAGGCTGTTTCTTATGCTCCGCCTGCCCGTTGGCGAGTCTAAAGGCGACATATCGCCCATGTGTTGTTGTGCCTGCTGCGCCGCCAGACGTCCCGTTTCTGTGGACAAACCTTTGACCTGATAGATAATAGAAAAAAAAAGTTTAGTTAAAATGTTAAAAAAAGAGGAAAAGGAAGAAAAGCTTAACTACCTGCAAACTCTCGGCGGATTTGAGGAAACTGTTGAGTGCCTCCTGGGAGACATGGACCTCGCCTTTGTACATGAACTCAAGGAGAGCGGCCATGTTGTCCGGCGTGGTCGCCTCCAGTATGATGACGCACTGTCCATTTGTGGGTGTGTTCTCAAACAGATCGGCGAACTTCTTCGAGCAGGCTGCCAATATAAGTTTGTGTGCTTTGAATACTACGCCTGAAATGAAGGAAAAAAACAAGGAAATTAGAAAATGATTAAGAAAGTTAAATTAGTTTAAATACTCTAAGAAAATGAGATACAAGTCGGTTTCTTTTTTCAAACTTCTCAAGGGTTTTCCGATTAAAGCATCTTTCTTCATTTAAGACCCATCACGACCCATAAAAGATAGCCAACAGGTGGCGCCGGAACGCTAACCGAGACCTTGAACTCATAAAAAATCATGTCAAATATATATATATCTATATATATATACACGTTTAGCACTCTCACATAAACACGTACACGCGGAGGACAATAAAAGCCGCAGCAAGAAGGAAATGATTTCCTCGCTCTTGACTACACAGACACAAAAGGGAGCTTTTCATCTGTAACTCGCTCTCATTTCGTGATTTTCTTCTGTACGTGTGTCTGTGTGTGTGTGTTTGTGTGGGAGGGGGGAAAGCAGCTCTGTCTGAGTTATTATTCAACATCAATGTCGTCTTGGTCTTGGCTCTTGGCAATCTTTTGTATCCTGGCTACCTGACATACAGCCCAGCCCACCCAGCGTATACGCAATGTGGGTGGCAAATGCCTTTCACTCTAAGAAAGTATTTTCATTCTAAGTGTATTTTGATGTGCTCTCTGGTGGTTGTGTGTGTATGTATATAATCGTTTCGTTACAATTTTTCACGCTTTTCTTGTCTCTCTTTTTGGGTTTTCCTTATACATTTTTTTTTTTTTGGAAGAGGGAGGTGGGTGGGTGGTTGGTTGATGTGACACAGAAGACTGAAAGTTATGTCTTTTCTTTTATGGGGCACTTGTTGTGTTAGCTGCGAGCATTACTTAAGCCAAATTGAAACGACACTTGCACAGCAGTGTTTTGGGATAGATATTATTATATATATATATATATAGAAAGAGACAGAGAGAGAGAGAGAGAGAGAGAGGAGAACGGCTAATATTTACCCGCTGACATTGTTCATGAATATATTTCAAGTTTGACACTTTTTTTCACTTGCTGTGGCACTTTGTGAAATTTCTGTAGCAGCTGAAGCGAAAAATGCATTAAGAAACATTTCTTCTTCCTCACTCAAAGTTTTCATTTTCTTTACTTTCCTCTTCTTTTTGTTTATAGCCAGCTTATCGTGCAGTGCAGTCTCTATTTCTATATATATATATAGATGTGAAATTCAACCAAATTGTGTCAATTCTTGCCTCAATGCTTACCAGCTGATAAGAGCTGATAACCAACCAAAAAAAAAATCAAAAAAGAACTCAATTCATGAGGCAAGACAGCTGTGGAAAAAAAGTATAAGTAAAACACGACATCAAGGTCAAAAACGCAATGCACAAGCCCCGAAAAAAGCAAAAAAAAAACACAAATCTCGGAAGTGATTCAAGCATACGCGGCGTATGCGCGATATTGCGTCGTCACTGATTAGCTCTTCTCGCTGAAAATGTATTATATAATCGCTTTGATTAATATACCAGACTACGCAAATTGCATTTAACATATGCCACTCAATAACAACACATACTTTTTGAAAACTTTTATTCGCATTCTGGCGATTATGTATCAGTTTCTTTTTTTTTTTATTATTATTTTTTTCTGCTGGATTTTCTAACACTTGATACAACAGAAATTGGGTCACAATCACCACAATGGAAACGCCAAAAAAAAGCAGCACACATACACTTTTGCTGGCCTTGATAAAGAAATGATATATAATATATATTATTCCAGCTACTTCTCAGCTTGTTTACGTTCTCTGCGTTCGTTTTTTCATTTACTCCGCAATTTGTTTTGATTTTGTGGGTTCGTTTTTTTTTGTTAGTTTTTTTGCCTTTTATGCAGTTTGGCAATAACATCGACTCAAGTGCCTTGTACTTTCTGTTTTTATGGTCAAAAATTAGTGGGAATAATCTTAATCAAAAGGCTTCATGAATAAGCCTGCACGTGGTGTTTACTAGTAGAGACTAGTTGCCTTTTTAAAGATTTCTTTCTGGATATAAAAATTTGCAAAATTTTTTAACATTTCAACCCTTTAAATCGTTAAGACTCTTCCCCTCTAAACACCCCCTCATACTGTAGTACCCCATTAAAAACCTCAGCCCAAGGCTAAGCAAATGTTCATTTGGCTAAAAATGCTCATTTCTCAAGTGCTAAATATGCCCCCAAAGTCTAAAACCCAAAATGCATCCTATCCCCCTTTTTTTTCAATCAAGAAAAAATAAATGAAATTTTTATAAAAACCAAAAAAAAGGCAAGCTAAAAATCTGCACATGAATATTAAAAACAATAAAAAACATACGTTATTTGCTTTTGTTTTCACAGACGGACAAATATTTAATGCTTCATTTCGAAATGGACAAAAGAGCCGAGTACCGAGAACGGAGAGATGAGAAAGTGAAGCCAAATCAAACATGGATGGACTCCATCTAACACCACCTAGAAACCCCCCTCGAAAGAAATATTAAAAACCACAATTAAAAACAGTCAAAGGGTTAGAAAAAGAGGAGGTGGTGATGTGGCGGTGTATTTGCTGGGGTGTAACGTTGAAAATTTTAATCAAAAGTAGTACCACACTTCGATTGATATGAATGACAAACGGGTAACGAGAGGAGCTGAGGAACTGCGGAACCGGAAGCCAAAAAGGGTTTCAGGTTTTGGTTTTTTGGGGAGAACTGTCTGCTTTAGCTACTCCCCGTTCAAACCCATTCTAGACAACCCCCCCTTTTAATCCCCCAGTCAGCCTCTGCTATTGAATCACTGAAAAAAATAAAACACAAATCCTTTCTCATGTATGACCAATATGCGTTAGGATAAGACCTAAAATTCCCTCAAAAATTCTTGTAAAATTTAAACCAGCAAACAAGCTGCTAACTGAATCATATTAGCCAAGGTTAAGCTACAAGGAAAATAAAATAAAATACCTAATAACCATAAAAGTAAGCCAGCCAAGCAACGTCTCAGGACACATAAACACCCAAAATATTTAAACCCAAATCAAAAGGGAAGCAAAATAAGGTTAACAAGGGTCCCAAAAACATACATCTCGTATACCCAAAAAGAGAGAGAGAGCTTCCAAGTAACTGACCTCAGTCAAAGGCCTGAATAAAATACATAAAACAAACAGACAAATATATATATATTCTATATATGAAGTATATAGGTTTGCCCGCATTTATATTCGCCATTTAATAAGCCAGCATAAAAACTGTAGTAAAAGGCCGTAAATGAACTAGCAGACAGGCACAGGCTGGCTAGAAACGAACTCGAGGGATGGATGAGGGATGGGTATGGGTATGGGATGGGTTGGGATGTGGCTGACAGACAAGGACGAGACAAGCCATAAAAGCCACTTCCAGTTTCGCGTCTCTAACAAACAGAAAGAAAAAAAAGAAAAGGCAAAAAGAAATCAATGTCTGATTCACCGGCTTATTAACGCAGAATGAAAATAAACATGAAAAGCAGGGAAAAATAAAAGGAAAAGTAGCCGAGTTATAGGTAAATAATAATAAGTCAATTTAATGATATAATAACTTTCTTCCCTAACTTCTGGTTTTATTTTTCATAAAAGAAACAATACTAATGAAAATTTTTCTAAATAATTTAGCCGGAACATTCTGAATTTTTATAGTAAAAACTGAATGAAAGCCATTTATAGTAATTCCTTATCAGTTACTACACAAAAATTTCTGACATTGACAATGATACTTTGTAGCTTTGACTTATCTGTCAGTTTTGAATATTTCTTTACTTAAATATATATAAAAATATAATATATATATATAAAGATTAACACTTACCATCGCAGGATAATGTGACATCGGCCAGCAGATCCGATTTGAACAGATTCGAGAATGTTATTGCCAAATTTGACGAATAACTGTTCCACTTGAGGCAGAACTGCTGCTGCTCCATTTTGCCAGCAGTTGTTCGTCCTCCGTCGCTGCACCGTCTATATTGTCTATATCGTCTATATCCTTATACCGATCCGTATCCGTATCGAATTTTATAAATTTCAGGTTATAATTTGTATGAAAGGCGCCAGAATGGCGACAACGGCAACGTCGTCGTTGTTTACGTTGATTGTTGCCAATTTTTTTGGATTTTCCTGTTGTTTTTCTAATGTTCTATAGATGTTGTTGTTGTTGCAAATTGATTTGTTTGTTTTCGTATTGCCAAAATGGAATTTTGTGGAATTTTGTAGCTGCCAGCAGAGCATAAAAGCAATTCGGCCGCTGCAAATCCTTAGCCAAAGGGAATTTTGCAATTGTTTAGTTAATTTCTTGTGTGTCGTCCTCGTTACGTTCACAATTGTTGCGATTATTTCCGGTTTTCTAATCACTTCCGCTGCTAACTTTATTAATAATAATAAATTGTTTTTTATTATTGTTGTTATCGTTGTTGCCAGCGTTGTTGGCATAGAAATTTAACCAGAAAACTTGTCGAGAAATCCGAAATCCGAACACGCCAAATGCTGCAATGAGAATGACGAAAATGATATTTGACGATTAGTTAAGGTTTCGATGCGTTTGACAGAAAACCTAATGGCAAATCCAATGCCTGCTTTATATGCTTTTCAACCTAAAGGCCAAGTTGATGCAGGTTGCAAAAAAGGGCTATATCCCTCCCAATCCAAGTTAGTTCCGAGAATTACGTTCTCGGACAAACTCAAATTTCAAAAGGCCAGGCGCAAAGTTTAAAGTCTTTCTTGGCCCAATACAGCCACAAACTGCATCGCATTCGTGTTGGTAACTCTATCTTTCGCCTGCAGCATTTCCGACCAATTTATTAGAAATTAATCGAGCATTTAGAAAGAACCAAAAAAAGCAAAAAGAAAAAAACTCCCCAAGATATACGATTCAATTCTGGGAATTCTGAGCTGGCCAAGTCAAAAAAAAAAAAAAAATGCCGCCGCTTCGAAAAAGGTTTTTGATGCAACGCGCGAGAAGACACAAACTTTCTGATTTCTGACTCCTCGTCTACGGTTTCTACCCCTTCGATCCCCCCCTCCGACTATAACCAATCCTTTGGCAATTCCTGGAAACTGCAGGTGAGGCTGCCTCGTTGCATGAGAGATGCGTTTGTTTTCTTCGAATTTGTTTAATCGTTAGAAAAATGCGGCCCCGCAACTTTTGTGGAAGCTGCCAAAAAAAAGAAGCAGGCTGTCTCTCTCTCTCTCTTCTTTGCTCTTTTTTCTTGGCCATCAAAATCAACGGTTTCATTTTTAAGCCAGAGGAAAGAGGGGAAAGAGCAGGGCTTAAAAAAAGATATCGGTAAAAAGCTATTAAGAAATTCCTGGGAAGTTTGCAGTTTGCAGAGTCCCGGCAACTGGAATTCACTCGTTAGGTAGGGGCAAAGGGAAAAGCCAAAGGGCTAGCCTTGGGTATAAGAATGATTTAAAGATTGGGAGAAATTGATCAGATTGATTAAGGTTATAAGGTGTAAATCAAGGAGATAATTTGGTATTTGATTGGAAGTATATTTATGTTTATATTGTGGTACTGAGTTTGTTAGGGTTTATTAAATTGAGAAATAAATGCTGTCTGCCTAGGGAAAAGTCTAAGTTACACTGAAAGTTGAAGTTATATATTAAAAATTGAAGTGATTTAAGCTTTAAGGAGCACTGCAAGAAGATATTTTAAAACTATATTTATATTTAAATCATAATACTAAGTCTAAAAGTGGTTATAAAAGGCTTTCTTCTTAAGGGAAAAATCATTTTTAGCTTAGAAGATTTGAATTTACTTCATAGGTGGCGCTACTTTCAAGAATGATTACTAATGGAGTGATTCGAGTTTTAAGGAGCACTGCAAGAAGATATTTTACAACTATATTAGTATTTTAATGTAAAACTAAGCCTAAAAGTGGTAATAAAAGTCTTTCTTTTTAAGGCAAAAATCATTTTTAGGGTAGAAATTTTAAATTTATTTCATAGGTGGCGCTACTTTCAAGAATGGTTACTAATGGAGTGATTCAAGTTTTAAGAAGCACTGCAAGAAGATATTTTAGAACTATATTTGTATTTTAATGTAACATTAAGCCTAAAAGTGGTAATAAAAGGCTTTCTTCTTAAAAGGAAAAACCATTTTTAGCTTAGAAGTTTTGAATTTATTTCATAGGTGGCGCTACTTTCAAGAATGGTTACTACACAAACTTTTGCCTAATAAATCAACCTATAAGACTATTTTGTATATAAAATACACATAAAACCAGGCTTTAAAAGGGTTTTTAAAAAAGGTTAAAGGCCTCTTTAGCTGATCTAATAAGTTCTATAAAGTAATTTCAGATTTAGTACTACATTCGACAGAGTCCTAACTTCTGTATGATAACCAACAGAAACTGCTCTTTCGAATATAAGTCCTCTTATTTAACCACTTAAGGTCTGATATAATGATATAATATGATATATACATAATACCCCATACCTAATAAGGCTTATCAAATCGAAAATCCACCTTAAACTAAAATAATAAGTTCTTCATTTAGTTCATATACCAATTCTTAGCTACTTTTACTTTCAGAAAGGGTCAACTAATATGATCTTCCAAAACTCAACTTCACATTCTTTCCTTACCAAAAAAGCAACCTTCTAGAAAACGTTTACCACCTCAGCGATTGCTTTCAAAAAGAACAACCCCAACTTGCCCTTTACAAAAACCTCTATAAAAACTTCTTTACTTCTGCACTTGGTTAGCTTCTAGCCTCTAGCTAGCTTTTTAACACAACTGTACTTTTAGCAAAACCAAACTCTACATATCCTAAAGCCTGCTTTTCATTGTTGTTATTATTGCGAGACAGGGAATACGCAATGGAATTTACGCAGCTGCATTTGAAATGCCTTTTCAGTTACAACAAATGCTCAGCTCGCAGCCAAAATGAAAGGAGAATAAAAGCAAAAAAAAAAACACGAAGCCAAAGGCCAAAAAATAGATCACAAATAGTATATAACCCGTCTTGTTTTTTGTTAGATATATATATGTATATATATAATAGAGAGACAGAGAGATAAATAGAGAGAAAACGCACCTGAATGGCAGTCTCAAGGCGAAATCATAGAGCTCAGGTATCTGGTAACCTATCTGCCTCCAAAACAAACAACAACAAAGCTGAGAGATGTGCGAAAAGTACAAGGAAATACAATAAAAAAGGCGTAAATCCTTTTCACAAACACAGATACATATAGCACACACACACACACATGCATACAAATGAAATAAAAGCTGCTTTTTGTAGGTCCTTTCAGTGTCTTTGTATTGGGACAGGAAGAAGTAGTATCTGAATCGGGAAGTTATAGCTTAAAAGGGGAGGTTGAGAGGGTTGATCTTCAGTCAAAAATAGCAACGCACTTTTAGCAAGGAAAAGAAGAAAAGGAAGTTGCGTGATAAATCTTAAAAGAAAAGCAGCTTTAAAAGTTAAGAGACTTCCCAAGAAATATTCCCAAAAAGAAATCTAAATTTTTGTTTTGATTTTCATTTATATTTTTCTAACATTTTTGTGGTTTTTTATTTTTCAACTACAACAAACCCACAACGACTTGCCTTCATCAAAGTTCGAATATTTAATTGTTATATTTTGCTGATGGCATTTCATCTAATTGACCTTGTTAACTATTAAGACAGAAAATTCAGTCAATTCAATTCCGTGATTCATATTTTTGTCTCTCTACTTTTTTGGTCTTCAGTTCAGTTGAGTGCAGTTGGCTAGCATAACTCAAGTGGTCAGCTGTTGTATCTTTTAATAAGCACAGATACATATTTATAGATACAACTATAGATTTCCGACATTCTTGTTAGCTTTGAAAGGCAATTTATTTTGAAAAAATCAAGCAGATTATGAAATCTTGTTGTCATTTTTTGTTATATATCTTAAAGTAAGAAGTATCTTTAGACTTCACTTAGCTTGCTGTTCTTTCTTCTTGGTGGCAACTCAAAGATTCCAATTTGGTTTAGCAAGAAAAACAGCAGACAGGCTAGCATCAAAATCCATAAAAGTGTCAGCAAACGGTTTAAGCCATCTACTAAGGACTGCCAATCATGCCTTTTCATGTCTCTTTCATCGTCAATAAAGAAAATGTGCTTGGAATACATTTTAACTATTTTTAAGTTTTTTTGTTGGAATTTTTTGAGAGATTTTGAAAGAAAAGGAAAAGCCTACGTAAGGAAAACTTTTGTAATAAGTTAATTAATATCCTAGTCATTATTTTCTACCAAATATTTAAAGATCTCCCCTTACAACCTATTAGCCAACTCTTGAGTAAAGAAATATCCCATAACCGACCTTTGACATTTAAAACCCAGCCAAAAAAAGCTATTTGATAACATTACATTGGCAAAAAAGAAAAGTAGAACTGCACATGACATCTCAGAGGCAGGATTAAGAAAATCTGTATCTCAGCACACCTTAGCCACTCCCCTTTTTGGCCACACAAGGGCCTGGCTTTGACAGCTACCAAACTGCAGATCTTCGAAGGGAAATCCCCCCGCTCGATTATCAACCTTAGATACTATTACACATGTTCGCATAATAGCAAAACATCGGCAGATGTGCAGTTGCTAGAAGACAAGAATAAATGTCGCATAATTCACAGCGCCAGTTTCTGGCGGTGGTAACTTTGAGGCGCCACAGGGAGGCAAGATAGACATCAAAGTAAAGTCTCTGCCTCTGTGCATATTGCATAAAAAAAAAGAGTATGTATTTGAAGAAAAGGAGGCTTGGCTGGATGGTTATCTGAGTTATGACATATCCTTGCATCACGCTGAGATAAGCAGCAGCCCAGCAGGCGGTGCATCAGGTGCATCTGGCAATTGAGTAACTTCTTAGCTGCTTTTGAGCGGTTATCACCGCATATAATAATTGCAATGGGAATTGAGGGAGGGAAACTTGTTTGATTTCTAGACAAATCTAAGTCGGCTTTCTATGCTTGAAGAAGCTTTGCAAATTGGATATCTTTCAGGTTGAATTTGATCGATTTTTTAAGTAAGGTTTAACATTTGATTTTAGTTTTTCAGCGGAACTTATTACAGTTTCCATCATTACTCTAGTACACTCATAATTTCCCAACAAATTTCACCTCTTTTCCACTAAGAAAACTCGAGCATGGCTTTGGTAATTAGCTATGCAGGGAAATGCAACCAACTTGAAATGCAGGAAAATGAGTTGCCATCAAAAAACACAAAAAAAAAGAGGCAAGAAAAAAGCAGTTAACACAAATACAGGTTGACAGTTAAGTTAATACGCTTGGCTGGGCAGGCAAACCAAAAAGTATCTCGTGTTAATGCAGTGCAAGTTGACAGAAGAAAAATGTATCTAGAAGATACGCTTGCCTTGTCGCAATTACAAGTTGTAGTTTTTGGACTATGAATATGAAAACTATGAATAAGAGTTGGAGGATCCCTCAAATTAATTACTTAGAATAATGTAATTAGGGAGTATATAGTAGAGTTTATATAGTAAAGTTCCAGTTCTGAACTTACAATGAGATAACTTTGACCCCAGTTGGGAAATGCTTGAGCGGGCATAGTTACCTGAAAGGAAAAAAGATAGAAAATAAAGAAAATTAGTTAAGAGTTTGATTTGTATGTACGAGGTGTGTTCAAAAAGTAAGGTGACTTTGTATTTTCAAGAAAAACTATTAATTTATTTATCAATATTTATGTTGTCCCCTTCAAAGTAATCCCCCTCAGATACAATACACTTATGCCAACGGTTTTTCCAATCCTCAAAGCACTTCCCATAAGCACTTTTCGGTATAGCCTTGAGCTCTTGCAGCGATGCAGTCTTTATCTCTTCAATCGTTGCAAATCTCCGTCCTTTCATAGGTCTCTTCAGTTTTGGGAACAAGAAAAAGTCACATGGGGCCAAATCCGGTGAATATGGTGGCTGAGGCATTATTGTGGTGTTGTTTTTGGCCAAAAAATCTCTCACAAGCAAAGATGAGTGAGCAGGGGCATTATCGTGATGCAAAAGCCATGAATTGTTTTTCCACAATTCTGGACGTTTCTTTCGTATTGCTTCTCGCAAACGGCGCATAACTTCCAGATAATACTGTTTATTGACCGTACGACCATATGGTAAGAACTCCTGATGCACCACGCCATGGTAATCGAAGAAAACAGTGATCAAAACTTTGACATTTGATCGAACTTGGCGTGCTTTTTCGGTCTTGGCTCGCCTGGGCTCTTCCATTGGGACGATTGGGCTTTGGTTTCGATATCATAACCATATACCCATGATTCGTCACCAGTTATGACCCTTTTGAGTAAATCTGGGTCGTCGTTGACGTCATTCAACAGCTCTTGAGCGATGCTCATGCGACGGTTCTTTTGGTCAAAATTCAGCAATTTCGGAACAAACTTCGCTGACACACGACTCATACCCAAAACGTTTGAAAAAATTTCATGGCACGAGCCAAGCGATATACCGACATCTTCAGCAACTTCTCTGATAGTGATTCGACGATTTTCCAAAACAATTTTCGTCACTGCTTGAACGTTTTCATCATTGTTGACGTGCTTGGCGTCCAGAGCGAGGCTGGTCATTGGCATCTTCCCGGCCATCTTGGAAGAGTTTGTACCACTTGTACACATTTTTTTTACTCAGAACAGTTTCACCGTATGCCACTGTCAACATTTCAAGTGTTTCAGAGCACTTAATTTTTTTTTTACACAAAATTTGATGCAAATCCTTTGATCCATATTTTTCGATAGCAAAAAATCGCCGAGCTCGCAAAATAACTTGTAACTTTACGCCTCTCACAACCAAACAAAAGAGGATGTTCCATTGAAACTTGGTACAGATGTTAGGGAAGAGTGTACCAATATAACAAAACAAAAAAATCGATAATCGAAAATATGTTGCCCGCGAAATTTGAAAAGTCACCTTACTTTTTGAACACACCTCGTATAAAGAGTCGTAAAATACAAGTTAATCAATCACAAAAACCTAACCTATCTGTCATGTTAATGACTTTATTTCTGATTTGCAAATCAAATTTCAAAAGTTAACCTTTAATAGCTGTCTAAGTTACCTTTTTGAAATCGAACCCTTGAATCGAAACCCTGGCTGGCTTTCAATCATGGCGAACACTGTGCTATAGACAAGCGTAAAGTGGCAAAAAGTTTACTCCCCCCGGCCCCCTTTTAACCCCCTGAATGGCCACCTGCTCAAACCCAATTAAAAATGTCAAAAAATGGGGAATACCTGTAGGTAGTTAGCAGTTAGCGCACGCAGTAAATATTCATCACGCCATGCCAACAAAGGTTTAAGAGTTTGAGTTTTTCTCCTTGGCAAGTCGAATCAAACATCCTCATGGCTCTCATGGCTGCACCAAAACCCTCTCCCCCACCCAGCATTTCCAATGCGTCACACAGTTTAACTTTTCATTTGGCGTTGGGGTTTTCGTTTTTTTCGTTTTTTGGGGGAGTCTGGGGATCCTGGGGGGCTTGGCTAACCCCCTGAATAGAACCCCTTCCCCTAGCTGGCTAGCTCCTGCTTATCAGCATGAGACGCACACATGTCAGGAGGACACAAAAACCAGAAGCTGTAGAGAAGGAGCTAGCTCCCAGCACAGAGTTAGTGGAATGTGCATTGTGGACGTTGGGAACAATTGCGTTTTGTATGTTTTCGTGCCTCGTCAGCAAAATTAAAAAATAGATACGCAAACGTTGGCCTACAAATGGGGGGGAGAGGTTGATGGTATCCAGCCAAAAGTTATATGAAAGAAAAGTCCAACTCCCTTTTCCCCTTCCCACTTTTCCCATTTTTCTCTCTGCCGAATTCAAATGTCACACAAGGATCGAAAGGTACACGCATGGCCAGTTCTACTACACTGGCCGTGGCTCGCCCCCAAACCAGTTTTTTCCTTGGTTTATTGCAAAAATACACAACAAGCTGGGTGAAAGAGAGAGAGGTATGGGTTACGGGCAGGTCCAAACAACAGCTGCTTGGGCTGCTTTTGCTGTCCCCCTTCTATGGGAAGCAGCTATGGTACAGGAAAAATCTAATAGAAGTAACGCACAGTAGCTGTGCCTGGGCCAGAAATGTCACTGGTCCAGGACGATAACTATGGCCCTGCCACTGGCTTCATCTCACCCACTTTAGGCCAAGAGCAGCAGACACCAACAGAATGAATGGTCACTGCCTCTACCTTTCAGGTTTTTTTGGGTGGGTTTTTTCTTCTGTTTTTTTTTTTTTTTTGGACTCTCAGTCTGGCTGGAAAAGCATCCCTCCTCTGGCTATGCGTGTGTATTTTTATTGTATATATCATTGATGAATTCGCCGATAACAAATCTCAATCAAATGTCAAAAAGGTAACTGGCAGGAATGTCCAAGCGATGGACAGACACAAGAACTCACCCTCTATTAGATGGAGAAAGCCCCTTACTCCCTTCCCCTCCCTCTCCTTAAACATTTTCCGAAACACGTTGTAATGTTGCAATTTTCACGCAGGCCACGCGTCGTATGCGCAATTGTTTTTAAGCAATTCTGCAGATAGATCGAAAGTTAGGAAATGTGAAGAGATGGGGGAGAAATGAGACTGACAGCTGCAGGTGGGCAATAGAAGAAGTGACCTCTGGCCCCCACTTAAGCTAACGCCATCCATTTGTGCTACCTTTGCGTGTGACAGCTCAAATTGTCATCTTGAATTCGAAAACTGTCAAAGTTTTACGGAAACATTTCAAGATTTGGTAAGGGAGAGGGGGAGGGCTAGACTAACGATGTGGGCAGTTAGTGAGAGGTTGAAGGTTTTAAGGGGAAGTGCAAGAAGGGAAAGTTTAATAAAGAGATGAAAAACTGGATGTATATGTTTTTTGCAGGAATTTTTAAAGATTTTTTGTGAGTCAGAATGTGACAAAAATCAGTATTGATAAGGATAAAAACTAAAGCTATTTTTGATCTACTTTTTAACTTTAATCATTAAAAGAGAAATCTTTACAACTTAACCCTCCAAAGACATCTTAAATTCTCTTCAAAAAAAAAATCATTAACCAATCTCCTATCAAACCTTTTTTAAGCCATCTTTTTATTGCCAGCCTTAACCAAACCCCCTTTGCTGTTAGCCATCATCAGCAAATTAAATAAAGCTCAATGACAAACTTCATTAGCCAAAAGATCAACTGGCCAAATGGCAAAAAAAAAGAAAACAACAAAAACGGAATAACAATTTGCCTAAGCCACCTAACCACCCCACCAAATAAATCCTTAAATACCAACCAAACTCATTCCTAACTTTTCACATTTCGCCTGGTCAGTACGAAAAACCCCTTTTAGCCGTTGGTCAGAAATTGGCAAGCAAACGTTTTGCCAGAAACTAAATTAAGATTGAAATGTAAAACTGAAAGCGTTTTACACACAATTATTGACGAGGATGTCGTTTGGCAAGCGGGGGAGTGGGGTGGTTCTAACAGGGAAAACCACTCTGGAAAGGCAAAAAATCAAAAAAAGAGGAAAAAGAAAATTAAGAGTTGGGGAAATTCCGGCTGTCGCGACATTTGACAGACAATTCACAGTGCGAGAATCATTCGAGTGCATAACTTACAATTCCGTAAATATAAATTTTCGATTCTCTGTTAAAAAAAAAGTACAAAAAAATAAAACAAAAAACAAAAAGAACAGAAGGATGGACTAATGAAGGTTGTCCGGCCTCAAACTGCCTGGTTTTTGCTGTTGGTATTATCACTCCAGCATGCATTTTCTAAATGAAAATGGGCAGGCGAAAGAAAAGCTCTGGACTGGGGCTGGGAAGCTAACGAAAGAGAAATGTATGGAAATTTCTGTTCAATCACAAATCCAATGATGTTCGCTTCGACGCATTTTGACATTTGGACTGAGTACAAGGATGTTTTTCCAAGCGTTCTTTTTTTCTGGGTTTGGGTAGCTTTGATGAATTTCACTGGGCGGCTTGCTAGCCCTTCCCCCTTTCAACAACGATTGTTGTTTGTTTGAAAGGCTTCGTTTTCGTTGTCCTGCCATCTGGACCTCCCCCAAAACACTCTTTCTAATAGTATATTCTCTAGACCTGAAATCTATGAGTGTAGCAGCTTCTCTCTTTTTTTTTTAGATTTTTTTAGGCCTTTCCTTTGTCCCTTGCAGTGCATTGATTAGAATGTTTGGACTTGAGTACGTAAATATTTTTGCTTGCCTGTCAATTAGTAAGTTAAGCTGCTGTTGTTTTGTATTTGTTAGAAAGGGAATTGGATTGGAATTAGTAAAGGAAAAGCAAGGAAAAGACAGTAGGCTTTTGTGGGTTTTAGTTAGGGGTTTTGGGGCTGTGTAGGAGGAAAGTGCAGTTTGGGTTTAGGAAGACTAGAAGAGAGACAAGATTTTCTACTTTAATTTATATTTCTTTCTATATCCTTCCATTAACTTTCAAAAATCTTAAACTGATTACTTTACTAACCCAAATTTTTCTTATTTTTTAAACATTTTTTCCTCATGAATATCCCATTTTTCCTACCACATTTTCTGGGGTAATTTCAAAACGATTTTCCCGCAAAATCAATAACTTATTTCTTATAAACTTTTT